TTTAGATTTTAGGTAGGTATATTAAAACAATCTGACATTATATTAAACTCTAAACAACCGGATATAACGACCACCCGGTTATAACGAACTATTCATATTTAGATTTTAGGTATGTTAAAAAAATATAGATTTAAGGTATATTATAATAAACTAACCTTATATTGAACATAAAACAACAACCGGATATAACGACCATCCGTTTATAACAAACCATTTATATTTAGATTTTAGGTATATTAAAACAATCTGACATTATAATAAACACTAAACAACCGGATATAACGAGCACCCGGTTATAACGATCTATTCATATATAGATTGTAGCCTACATATAATATAAGGTTAGTTTATTTTATTATAGGTACCTACAATTTGTAGGTATATTAAAATAAACTAACCTTAGTTAGTTTAAGTTGACTTTAGATTTTATATATTTCTATTTTGAACATACATACATGTAAATATTTTAGTATGTTCAAAACAAAAGTCTATAAATTCTAAAATCAACAAAAACGAATTTTGACTCGATATTAAACACTAGCTAAAAATAATGACAATTGCCATTAAGTTTCATTAAGGTCATGGTAAGTTTCTCCACATTAATAAAATTATCTAAAACTAATAAAAATATTAGGTATAATAGATATCTTATACCTGGTATTATAATAGGTATATTTTACCTAGTATAACACAACCATCTGAAAACCTAGTGAATTTTTAATAAATAAAATATTTCCTATAATAAAAATATTTTATTCCACCGTGCAACATATTCGGCCATTTTAATCTACTAAAATAATAGTAATTGATAAAACCAAAACTGTCAATAATAAAACCATTAGACTTTATTTCCTACCTGAGAAGAGCAACTTTACTTAGTTAAAACCATTTTTCTTTAATAAGGACTTAAAAAGGTTTTTATTTAAATTTCATATATCTTCCTAAAACCTTTTTAAGTCAAAGGGGTTTTATTCTTCGCGCCAATATACCTAACCTTATTTACTATTGTTAGAGCCAGAGAGTTAAATTAAATAGGTATTTAAGATGGTTTTTAAAATAGTTCAAACTTTTTTTATTATTATTATTGTGAAGATGGACATGTGCTTGTCTATCGTTCTGAGTGAATGGGAATAGCGTGCAATGTTGTTCTGGCCAAAGAATAAAGTTTTGGTCGCAAAAAAAATAGAAACCTCTATTTTCTATAAAAATGTCCACTTCTTGTTTTACAAAAAAAATCGTCTATGAATGTAGACATTTTACAATACGTACGTACGACACTTCGACAATCGTGGAACTAATAGTTTATAAATTATAGTTCCAGCTGTTTAAAGACTTATAAGGGTTTTATTCAAATAAAAAAAGTTTTATTAAGTATTTAAAAATTTAAAAGCAAGAGCATTATAAGACAGAGCTTTAATAAGGGTTCCTTAAAAGCAAGATAGTTTTAAAAGTACCTTGCTTAAGCTGACTACAAGAACGCTTTAAAACTAAAAATTAAAGCAATCATAAAACAAAGTTGCTTTTATTTGTCAATCATAAAACAATAATAAAACAATACTGCTTTTAGAAGTATCTTAAGATAATTTAACCTTATTAAGGTTAAACTTAAGTCCAAATAAAGTCATTTTAAAGAGTAAATACTCTTGAAAGCCATAAGGTTTTAAATAGGAGTTCTTTAAGATAGCTATAAAACCTTTATTTTAAGACCATCTTCTCCCAAGTATAATTGGCATTTATGAGAACCTTTTTAAAACTGTTTGCATTATTTCCGCTATAATAAAACCTTTTTAAAACCAATTCAAGTCAATTTTGCATTTAAAATGTTACTTGGGATGTAAAACTATTAAAAAAAAATAAACAATAGAAATAAACAATATTTCCTGTAGTTTATATGTAGGCTATAAATCAATTGTATACAGGGTGGGCCAATGGAAAGTTTCCACCTCGATTTTTTCAGGTGATCCGTTAAAAAACAAAAAACTCTTGCACAAATTATTTTTTATTTTCAACACCTCAACTTAAACCCCTATTTTTTCTATTCTGTGACTTTTGGGTTAGTTCTAAAAATCCTGACGTAAAGGAACAATTATTAGGTCGGATTAATAACACACAATCATTATTTAGAAATTTTGCCGTCATAGCGCGTCATGCCGGTTAAGAGTAAGGATAAACCCCCTGATAGAAAGTGGATTAGCCAGAGTACGGCACTCTCCACCGCCCACTAGATTGCCCGGATTGGTTTATCACTTTCCAAAGAAAGCATTAAACCAAACAGAGCAGGGCATTCTCCACAGCACACTAGCTGCGACGGAGAATGCCGTGCTCCGATTGTTTTAATGCTCTCTATGGAGTTCATTGTATATAGGATGTAAAGCAAATTTCAATAAATACAGGGTTGAGTTGAATTTAAAAATAGTATTTATTTTGCATTGGATAAAAATTTTAATATTTTTTTTACCGATAATATCGTGTATACAGTGTTGGCCATAATTTTTGCAAGCACTGTAAAAAAAAATCTAACTCTAAAACGCCTTTATTATTCTTTATGAAATTTTTGGATAAAAATACTTATATCTCAGTTTACGTTCGAGGGGTTTTTCGAGAAAATATTTCTAAAGCCCTTTTATTTAATAATAAAAAAACGTTCTAAAAAAACTTTTAGGGAATTTTTTTTTATTAAATAAAAAATATGCTGTACAAGACCGTATTTTTGTTAGTATACCCTGAAAATTTTGGTACAAATCAATCAACTTTTGTTACTCCACATTCTCTTTTTTGCATTTTTGCTTCTTATCCCTTCACATATATATTATAATAAATTATAATAATATTATAATAATCATATATTATAATAAATTTAAATTTAAATTACACTAATTTTTTAAGTTCAAATTTTCAGTGGTTTTGAATTTGATAAACTGTTACTATAATATATTATATATTGTACTGTATTTTATGATTTTTTATTAATATTAACATGTTTGGAAAACTTTTTAACATGGACTGAGAGTTAAAAGTTTTTATTTGATATTGTAGTGCTGGTTTTGAAAAAAAAATTAAAAAAACATTATTCATTAAAATATTCATTCTAATAAAAAAAATCAATTACCTCTCAAGAATTCCTTTCTTTAAAAAATAAAATAATTATTTTTTTATAAATGAAATAAAATTTTTTTTTAAATATAAACTCATTTACCTTAAGTGGTGCTGGATAGAGTCCACCGGACATCTTCATAACTTGAGCCTTAGCCTTTCCGAAAATCTGGTCCTTAACCCAGTCATACTGCAGAGCAAAGGCCATAGCCTTATCCATTAACCCCTTTTTGCTTCTGTCGACTTTCAATTTTCCACTGGCCAAATCTTTGGCGGTATTTATGGCTACGGTTTCTAGATATCTTGTAGTAACAGAGCTAGCCTCGTCTCTACCGGGTCCTAGTGGATCCACCACCAAGTCGATTAAACCGAATTTTTTGGCTTTGTCTGCTTTTAATGTTTTTCCTGTTAAAGCCATGTCCAAAGCGTTTGGAATTGAGGTCAGTTTCGGCAATCTTTGAGTACCACCAGCTCCTAAACACGTACAAGAACATATATTTTTCGACCTTTTTTAATAAAGGCAATATATTTTTTTGATTATTTTAAAATTTTTATCTAAACTATAATAAGTATGGGTATATTTAAATTGACTAATTTTTATCTATGCAATCTATGGCATTTCATTGTACTGCCTATATTTAATATTTAGAGAAAACATTAATAAACGTGATTTTTCAGTTTAATTGTTTATCATTAATGTAACAAAAATTATTAACAATAACAAACACTAAGTAAATCTTGACCACTACACCACCGGCCTCGGTGGTGTAGTGGTCAGAGCTCCTGGGTACGAGCCGAGAGGTCGTGGGTTCGAATCCCACTTGGGTATGGTTGTTTATTTTGTGTTTGTCCATTGTGTATAGTCCTTCGGAGGGGACTTTAAGCCGTCGGTCCGTTCCTACCCCTAACCCGCACAAGCCATTCAGTTGGCTTATGGGACATCTTAGTTTGGATGTAAGGGTGGGAACTAAAAGAGCACTTTATAACTTTAACTTTATGATATAAATTTCAATATTTATTGTTATTGCACTTTGTTTACCTAAATCATGTTTTAAACCTATCCTATTTATTATGTGTGCTTTTTATATTCAAAACTGCTTTTATGTCATAATTAAATTTAAAACTATTATTATATGTTGTTACCAAAAAGTTTTCAAATTAGAAAAGAATAGTGTATAAAATTGCCTATAATAAAATATTAATTTTTAAACACTAAAAAAATACATACAATTTGCCCAGTATTAAATAAAATGGGGACAAAATTAAAAAAGGTAAAATAGCAGGGATTTGTGTGATTCACTTTAAACGTACCTGGCAGAAGTCCCAACATAACTTCCGGTAAACCGACTCCGGTCTTCTTATCTTTTACTGCAATCCTGTAATGACAGGCAAGCGCGACCTCGAACCCTCCACCGAGACATTGCCCTTGAATGGCAGCAACAATGGGTTTCCTGCTTCTTTCGATGGAAGCCAAAATTTCTTGACCTCCTTTGGAAAACCTGTTTGACTTCTTCTTGGGTCTTCAGTTTTTTTCCAACATCGAAATATCGGCACCGGCGATAAAGTTTACCCGGTTTTTCCCGGATATCAAGACGGCCGCCTGGATTTGTGGATTCGACTCTATATCCCTTAATATAGAGCCGAATTCTTCCATCACCTCGGAATTTAACGAGTTTACCTGTATGCAAAAAGAACTTTAGTGAATTAAGTAGTGTAACTAGTTTTTAATGAAAGGACTAAATCAAAGTTAAATATATATTACGTGATAAAATACATTTGAAAAATAACGTGTTCTTTAAAACGAAAAGAAAAAAATATTTTACAGGTTGTTTAAATAAAGCCCTTAAAATAAAATACTATAAAAAATAACAACAATTTGGACTAGTCAGTTTTTAATATTGCTTCCTCTACAATCTCTCTAGCCATTCAACAGATAAAGCAATACCACTATCTAAAAGACTATCCCATTTTTTGTAAGAAAATTCTTCAATGCTCATCTCCTCAGCATCTTTAAGAATACTTTTCAAATTCCCTATAGTCTCACGATGACTATTTAGTACGGTTCTATCGATTTTAAGCAAATCTGTCTTGTCAGCTACTTTCTGTACATCTTCTTTTTGATTATTTAAAGTATCTCCATTCGATTTGATAATTTTTCTCCTTCCATTCCACATCTAATTGAGATTTATCTGTGTGGACATCGCCACTCCCAAGCTCCTTAACTCTATCTGCATACCTAAGAGTATTCAATGTGTTTTCGCAAGAACTTACTCCAGGTGATATCATGGCAATCATGCAGGTTTTAGAATTGGGCTTTACGAACGAATCTCTTAGCACCTGAGTCAACTTGCAAGCCCTGAAAGGCAAATTGCGACCCCTTACGGCCTAAAGCTCTAATACACTCTTTTAAAGCCAACAGTGATTGGTTAATTTCTGCACCTTCGATTCTCGTAAGTTTCGATGAAGAAAATGTATCAGCCCCTCGCTCATTGCCAGCCAAATCTATTAATGAGAATTTACCGTGAACCGCTTTAATTTTTTAGCCTGCTTCTTAGGAAAATCTGGAATATGGCGTGTGATCTTGACGAATTAGTGTTTGCCGATGTTTGACCTGATGCCCTTTCAATGTTTCCCTGAAGGATTAATTTTAAAACGTCATCAACAGAAGTTACAGCCTTTTCAGTAAGCCCAATTATCTGAACTTGCTGTTTAGCATCTTCCAGTATTTTTAACGTAGCCTTATTGTTTAGCAAATCAAACACTTTCTTGCTGTAAATTTCAAAGAAACTACACGACACGGCAAGGTTAAGATCTCTGTATTTTGATGAATGTATAAGACTAAAAATATCAGATGCGGTGAGGGCATAAATTCCCTTTTCTGTGTCAAGTTCACTATAATTTCCACTCATTGTAAAAGTTTTACCAGATCCTGTCTGACCATAAGCAAAACAAGTTGCCATGCCGCCTTCAAAAATGGTGTTCACCAAGGGTTGAGCAGTGTATTTATACACACATTCGTTGATGCAGGTTTCATTAAATGTATAATCAAATTTATACACATGGTTTTCAATGTATTTAGTTAAATCCACTTTATTCTTGGGTTCATGAATGATTAATTGGTTAGAACTTGGTATCGTTACAATATCCACTTCCCTTTTAGAATAATCTATACTATTTAATGGTCTTTTTCTTACAGCTACTGTAATTTGATGGTCAGTCGAGCGGTCACATCGCGATAGCGGAGCAAAATTCACTTTTCTTCTATAGTCATTTATCATTTGCACCAGTTCCCAATGTGGATTACCCATTGATTTCTTGGAGATTTCCGCTTTTTCAGCTCTCAATTCGGCCTGCTTTCTCCTCCTCTCAGATCGGTTTTTCTCCAGTTTTCCAAGCTTTTTTAACGTCAGATCCGAAGGAAAGTTATCGAATGTAGACCTAGTATGCTTCACTGAAGATACTCTTTGTTCTTTGTTCAGCAATAAATTATTTGTTGAAGATGACGGTACAAGAATCATATGATCTGTAAGCCTGGGTTTAGCGGACTGTGTTCTGTGCTTTGTTGTGGCAAACAAGACACTCTTTTTTTATTCTTAACAGTAACCTCATCTTTAATTACAAGTAAAGGAGGCACTTTATCGCGATTAGTTGGGTAAGCAATTGCAATTTCAGGGTTAAAGTGGAAACAATATTAAAATCGAGCTCTTTGCCTTTGGTTTCACCCCCCTCAAACCACTCCACTTTACGCATCCAATGTCAAAATCAATTGAAGATACAACTGCTTGGTGCGTTCTACCGTCGCTTCGTTTTATCGTTATCGACGCTCCTTCGATTAGTGGTTTGCTCATTTTTCAAGCCAAAAGACATGTGTCTAAGTTAAATTGTTAAAAATTTCAGAAATATATAACTGTCAAATTCTTGTCAAACTTGAAAAAAAATGTCGCGGCATTAAAGGTCAATTTTCATGTATCCGTTTGTCCGTCAGTCCGTTCATCCGGGAGCGCTCTTATTGGTCCAATTATAATTCGAAAATTATGACATTTTATCGTCCGTCAAGTTTCAACTTCGTACGTCTGACAGAGAAAGGTTAAATAATTTTAACTCATCCGTCACTACACATCTGTTTTTGACGCCTAACGTTATTTTAAGAAAATTTATTTTCAAATATTTTTATATTTTTCAATAAGATTGTAAAACGGAAATATTACGTTCGTTATGTGAATAATGTTTTACTGTTAAGTTTTTATTTAATAAGAATAACGGAAAAAATGAAAGGACAAACAAAAAAAAATTAAAACTAGAACTAAAAGGACCTGCTTTTTTAAAACTAAACATTTTAATGTATATTAGGGCTAGTATATTCTTTTTATAAAGTATATTTACCTACCTTTAAATTTATTAGACAGCTAAAGTTACAATTGTTGACATAATTGTAACTATGACAATTAAGCATTAGGTAAATTTAGTAAGTGAATATACTGACACTTAATTTCTATTTGTCGCAAAATCAGGAACGCCTAAATGCAGGAATGGGCTCCATCTGAATATAAATTTTGCGTAAAATAAAACCAAATCAAACCAAACCCAACCAACCCAATTGAAGCCTAACCACCCCTATTGAAGAGGATTATTCCATCGGTAACAAAGTTCGAGATAAAGGGCAATGCACGATGGAATAATCGTCTTCAATAGGGTGGTTAGGCTTCAATAGGGCGGTTACGGGGGGTCGGGTTGGTTGGGTTTGGTTTGATTTGGTTTGTTTTATTTTACGCAAAAATTATATTAAGATGGAGCCCATTCCTGCTTTTAGGCGTCCCTGCAAAATCAATCCGTTAAACGTCATTAAAAAACGTATGCATGAAAATTAGAACATTTCTTATCGGACGATTTTATTGAAAAACTGACATACGGATGACGGACAAACGGATACATGAAAATTAAGCTTAAAGGTCAATTTAACGTCTTTCAAATGCAATGCGTCTTTTTTGTGTTGCATTATTTTGGAACTATTTAAAAAAACAACTTATCGTTGTTACCAACATAAGTTACTACTATCTGACGCGCTACGAGTCTAAAATGAAATTTTACAGGAAAGACCATAGACAATGGGAGAGACGATTAAAGTCCACGCAGCATAGCCTATGCACCTTATACCTACATAAATTGCCCAATAGTATCTTATTACAGTGTAGGTAAATTTTCAACTCTTAAAATAACACAGGGGCATTTCACGTTACTCGGTAATTTTTGTCCCGCCCGTCACAATTAAAAATTGTGAGTAAAAACCACAAGTTATAAAATTACGCTGTGGCTCCCGTCCCGAGGCGGGACTTAAGTTCAGTCCCGATTGACGTCATAATTTTAAGATTTGTTATGTTATAATAACATAATAATAATAAATTGTACCTGTATACATGTTAAGGGCACTTTAGTTACGTCATAAAACCAAACCAACCCAAACTCAACAACACAATCCAACCGACCCCGCCCCATTGGGCCCCCCCCCGCCCCATTGAGCAAAAAAACCCAACTAAAATGGGCAAATTTATGTTACGATAAAAATAAAACACTTTTTAACAAGAAACAACAAATTTATAAAATAAAAAAAATAAAAAAAGTTTGACAACTTCTAGTGGGATCGAACCCGGTACCTCTCGCATGCCAAGCGACCGCCCTACCATCTAAGCCATCGAGCTTGACACAAATTATAAAATCTCGGGGAATAAAAACCGATTTACAGTGTGTGACGTCAATCGGGACTGAACTTAAGTTCCGCCTCGGGACGGGAGCCACATCGATAAAATTAATATTTTATTATATTATTTTTATTGTGCTTATAACATATTAAAAGCATAATAAAACAATATTTTTAAAAAAATTTTATAACGTGTAGTTTTTACTCACAAAAATCCCCGAGTAACGTGGAATGACCCCACAGCTAAGCGCTCAAACACGTAAACATATTTTTTAGTCTTAGATTTCAAATCCGTGGGACACACTAGTGTACAGCTGTATACTGGTATATTATAATTTGTAAAATAATGTATTTCACCTCTTGTGCCTCCTATGCTTTTTATTTCAATAAACATAACCTCAATAATTATTATACTCAATAAAAAAAATTAGCAAGAAAACATTTTGAATTTCCTAAATTATCTATAATTAACTCTCCAGGGACCCCTGTTCCACATATCAGATGCGTAATTTTTTTTTTTATTTTTTTTATTTTTTTTTTTTTTTTATTTTTTAATTTTTTTTTATTTTATTTTATTTTTTTTTTTTTTTTTATTTATTTTTTTTTTAATTATTATTTTTTTATTTTTTATTATATTTTTTTTTTTTGTTTTTTTTTTATTTTTTTTTATATTTTTTTTTTTTTATTTTTTAATTTTTTTTTATTATTTTTAATTTTTTTTTTTTATAAGAGTTCTTATTTACACATATTCAGTCCAGTACAAACCATTTCATTCTCTTATTGGTTTCTATGGGTCATTTTCGGCAGGGCAATTAACTTTAAATTTTGCAATAATTTGTTTTTTTTTTTAATTTGGAACTGATGTGTGGATCCAGCCAATTTTTTTTTTTAAATTTATACAGGGTGTTTTTAATATCTTTGAATTTTGACGTAATAAAGATAAACCAAGCACAGATTTGTAATCTGTTATCTTAGTATCTTAATTATAAAAATATATATCTATAGCAGGATTCCATTTTGACAAAATTCACTGAGTGGATTTATTGCGTGTTGCTTGATTTCTCCTCAGTTATAAGATAAATTAATAAATTAACTAATACTGATATACCTCAGTAAAGTAATATTGTTCAGTGAATCAAGAGTAATATTGAATGCATGTATTTTTAATTTGATTTAATATTAAATATTGCCATTTTATCATAATAATAAAAAAATCCTGGTATCTGCTACTTGTACACAATATTGTTAAGAATAAATCATAGAAAAGTACCTAATGGACCTTTAAAACAGGAATAATTGGTTTAAAACTTGGTTAGGGTTTCGATCAATTAAAAAACATCATAAACTCACTTTAACACCTGGTGAATCCAAGGTAATAACCCCCAATATTATCTACAATCCTTAATTTGGTGTGCTTCCTCTCTTGTGATGCCATATTTCTTGCTTGCACTAAAATTAAAAAAAATATTTTCAATAACAGGTGCAAAGTACATTTCTATTTTAATTTTTAATTAAACTATTTATTATACCGTCAACAACACAAAGTACATGGCTTTTTACTCACCTGACCTAAAAATGGAATTAGTATTTTTCGAAATTTTCGATAATGCCCCGAATATTCTAAACGAAGACATTTTGGTGTTTTTTAAACAAATCACTACACCCCACCAAAACGAGCAGCAAACTAAAAGCGAATTTAAAATAATCAAATATAACTGGATGAACTTTGCCCAGTTGGATAACTTAACCAAAAAATGACAACTAAATAAAAAGTGACACCTGACAGAAAGAGGTACGTTCCGAAATTTATATTAAAATAACTAACTTAATTAAAACATTTTAAGTTTTAAAAATACCTTTACTGTAATAAGTTTAGTTTTTTAAGCACAACATGCAAAATATAATTAAATTTAGTTACAAATTTTGTTTAATTTGTTAAGTTAAATTTGGGAACGTGTCGGCCGGTGTTTTAACCTTAAAAGCCGTGTTTAAAACATTTAATTGCTTATAATTTAAAATATTTAATTATGGAGAGCGAGGGTGTTCCGGCTGATTTAAATGAGGAAGAATTATCGAAAAGACACAAGCAAGAAAAGAAAGATCTTCACGCCAAAGTGCAAGCATTGAAAAAAGCAGTTCCAAAAGGTGATAAGAAAAAAAAAGAAAGAAATAACAGATGAGATAGCAAAACTTGAAAAACGACTTGGAGTTAAAACACGCAGAAGAGTTAAAATTACTTAAACCATGCATAACAGAGAATGAACTAGTGGATGAAGATTCCAACAATCAATCCAATATCAGTGAAGATCTGGAAATCAAAGAAGATGAAGTTGATGGAAAGATGGCTAATAACCGAGATTCAAGAGCTCAGAAAAGAAGAAATAAGAAAGCTGCGGAAGAAAGGGAAAGAGAGAAGAGGATATCTGAACAAGCCGAGAAAAATAGAGGTGGCCCAAGGGAAACTGAAATGAAATCCATTAAAGAAACTTTGAAATCACTAAATCTACATATATACAACATACCAGCTGATGGTAATTGTTTGTATTGTGCTGTAAACCATCAACTTGAAGTAAAAGGTAAAAAAAACGTTCACAATCACTGGATTAAGGCAGATTACAGCAGATTTTATGTTGACAAACCAAGATGACTTTTTGCCGTTTATGTGCAATGAGATGGATGAAGAGAAAACTGTGAATGAAGATGAATTTAAGAAGTATTGTAAGGATGTAGCCACCACAAAACTTTGGGGTGGTCAGTTGGAATTAAAGGCTCTATCAAATATTCTCTCTTGTCCTATAAAAGTTATCCAAGCAAGTGGACCTCCAACAATTCAAGGGGAAGGGCTTGATGGGCCAGAATTAATTTTGACTTATCACAGGTTTTTGTATAGACTGGGTGAGCACTATAATTCTACTGAACAGGGGGGACCAAAACAGGATGATGATGATGAAGATGAATGTTAAAAAACAGGTTTTTAATATTGTGTTCAACTAATTCAGGTACTGTAATTTACCACCATCTAAGGCTGAATTCATAGTTGTAACCACAAAGATTTTATACAATTGGATTTTTCTGTAAAATTTTTAAATTAATTTGTATAAACTACAAGCAATAAATAATTTAGAAAGGATATAAAATTGATGATCTACCTATAGCTCTTTGTTGCTGTTGATATTTTTATGTGATGTTAATTTATTATTAATGTTCAATCAAATGTATTACATCTTACTTTAAGGTAATCAGCAGTACCTCACTTTATAAAAAATAAATTTTATACAATAAAAGGTGTTTAAATATTTAAATAATTTATTTTGGTTTAAATAAAAACTGACAAAATTAGCTATTTGCAGGCTTTGCTTCCTCTTCTTCCTTTTGTCCCCTTGTTTGGGTCATCAGGCTTCATAGCAGGGAACAAAAGCACCTCTTTGATATTATTGTTATCAGTAAGAAACATGGTCAACCTGTCAATTCCTATACCCCATCCACCAGTTGGAGGCAAACCATACTCCAAAGCAGTACAGAAAGTTTCATCGACCAGTTGAGCTTCATCATCACCAGCTGCTTTGGCAGTTGCTTGCAGATCAAACATTTGCCTTTGGACTGCTGGGTCATTTAATTCTGTGTACGCATTGCACACCTCCTTTTTCATTACAAACAGCTCAAAACGTTCAGTTAATCCTTAAAGAAAGATCATAAAATTAGCATATATGCTAAACAAATTTATTATAAAACATAAAAAATAGGGGCTTTTATTGAAAATTTTATTTATGAAAGCAGATTCAAAATTTATTTTTTTTCTTGTAGAAAACCGGAAGTAAACATTTTAAATCAAAATTTTAATAACTTATTTTTAATTTTAAAATATACTTTAAGTATATAAATAATGCACTGAAAGTTTTAAAATGGGATCTACATTAGTTTGGGATATAGATGAATTAACGTACATTAAGGTGTAACCTGTAAAACTGCCCTTAAATTTAATTTATTTAAAACTGCACAATAAAATTACTGTTTCAGGTAATTGAAAACTGCCCTTATAAATTTCAGTGTAATTATGTAATGAATGTATTGTTATTGACTTAACCTATTTAAAAATGTCTCTCTGTGAACAGTTTTAAGTTTTTTAAGAAAAATAGTGGAAAAAATTCGCCTACTCCTAATTTAAAAAATTAAAGGTAAAAACTCACAGTAGGGTAAATAAAAAAAATTAAAGGAAAAAAATCGCACAGTAGGATAAATTAAAAACAAATAGGATAGTGGCATAAATTTATAACCTGGTAGGACAAATTAATTTTTTTTTATATTTTTATCATTAATTTTTTAAAATATTTTTTAAGTTTGTAAAATTTCATATTTTCAAAAATTTTTATAATTATTAAATTTCAAAAAATTTACAAACATTTCAAACCTTTATTAATTTTATTTTTTGAACATTTTATCGTTTTTCCTACTTATTATTATTTATAAATTGCGGAGAATTATTTATTTACATATTATCTATACATATAAATTTTGCACTTGTCATACAGTAGTCATATTTTAATATTAAATAAAAATTTATAATTAATCACTTAACTACAAATTTTTGAATTAACAATTTGGGAAAAGACTATATCATTTATGTAGGTAATATTAATTAAGAGCACAACTAAAGTGTACCAAAGTTTAAAGAGATATGATAATATCCTATGGGATTTAAGTTTTGGTTTCTATAGAAATGTGTTTTAATTACCTGGTACAGATCTGTGATACTTGGCCAAAGGACTCATAATTTGAGGATGTTCTGTGATAAAAGCAGGATTAATGCATTTTTCTTCAATATAATCTCCAACCAATTTGTCCAACAATCTCGCTGTGGTTCTTGGTGGTGGACACTCAACATTGTTCTTCACACAGAGTTGATCCAAAAACTTATTGGTAGATTCTGATGCCATCTCAGAAGCAGGAGGGAACTTAACATTCAACTCCTTCTCCAAAGTTGGTATCATTGGAATTCTTCTGAAAGGTGGTGTAAAATCAATTTCCAACTCCTCACCTTCCAAACCCTCTGGATGATATTTGACTTTGTAAGTGCCATGAATGCTCTTCACCATACCAGCAAGTAACGTTTCGGTGATTGACATTAAATCATTATAATCAGCATAGGCCATATAAAATTCACATGTGGTGAACTCTGGGTTGTGTGTCAGATCAATGCCTTCATTTCTAAATTGCCTGCCAATTTCATATACTCTGTCCAAACCACCAACAATAAGCATTTTGTGATACAGTTCTGGAGCAATTCTCATGTACAAATCCATGTTCAAATCGTTATGGTGAGTGACAAATGGCTTAGCAGTGGCACCACCAGCTATCATATTCATCATAGGAGTTTCAACTTCTAAAAAGCCTAACCCATCCAAAAACCTCCGGACATAGGAGATAATTTTAGCTCTGACTTGGAACACATCCCTAACTCTATTGTTTAGAATCAAGTCCAAGTATCTTTGTCTAAACCTAGTTTCCTTATCCTTCAAACCAAAGTGAAGATGTGGCAACATATGCAAACAAGGGGACAATAGTTTAATTTTTTTAGGCATCACAGACAACTCCCCTTTTTTGGTTTTGGTGGGCACTCCTTCAATCCCAATAATATCCCCTCTCCTGATTTTTCCTGTATCTTCAGCAAACTTCTCTACACTCTCATAATGATTTGCAGTAGCCATAATCTGTAACTTGGTACCTTCACCACGTAAGTCGTAAAAAATCAACTTGGCACCAGACTCTCTTATAGCATGCACCCTGCCAGCCACACTTAAATTATCACTTTCCATTATTTCACCATCTTGCAAGCTACTGTATTTAGCAATAAATTCTTCCAATGAAGTGGATACATGAAATTTGTGGGGGTATGGATGACTTTCCCCACCAAGAGCCTTAAGATTTGCAACGGCAGTGCTTCTAAGCTTAAAGTATTCATTGGGGCTTATATCTTCTTCAGAAGGTTTCTTCTCTTTGGTTTGTTGAGTGGCAGCTGGTTGTTGAGCGGATTTTTCAGCCTTTTCTTTTGCTTTTTGCTCTGCCTTTAACCTTCTTTTTAACTCACTGAAATATAGATATTTATGTTATTAATATTTTTGTTTTATTTACATACCTTTTAGATTGTTGAAATAATCTCGTATTAGTGTACAACTGGCGTCTAACAATACCAAGTGCTTGCATCATTGCAAATACAAATTTTTCTTTGAATAAACATAAAACCCTTTCAAAGGTTCTTTAACTTACTTTTTGGATAATTGTTCACCACTTGAATCAGCCATAATTGGATATTTTGTTTTGTTAACCGTACCAGCCGGTCCAAGAAAATACGTTCACGTGTAAAAAGGGAGGAAAGCGCAAATGCGGCCCCTGAAATGTCATCTCTTTTTTTCCTTAGAAGAAAGTGAGACAAAAGCTGAAGAAATGTCAGAATTACAACATAACAACCCTAAAATTTCAAGATTGCCACTAGTTTGAAATATAATATCGGATATTATATTAAATATCCCTAGATTTATTATAGGTTAGGTTGGATAACCTCCAACTGTCAGTTTGACAAAAAAATGAGTGCTGCACGATTAATTCTAAAAAATGTCACAGAAAACCCTTTACTTAGATCAAACTTGAACATAAATAACACGAGTTTACGCCAGTATGCGTTTAAAAGCGATTTAAAAATCAAATGGGTACGTCCAGAGAAAATTCCTTGTTACAAACCTGAAAAGTCTGGAGATCTTGCAGGTGTTCCAAAACTTGACAAATCACAATACCAATTGGATTTCCGTAATTCCAAAGAGTTGGAAACGGCCAATGAACATGTAAAAAAACTGTTCAGCTTGGAGTTTGCCCCAAAAAGTGAAGTAAATAGATTGTATAGGAAAGATTTATGTGACAGCATTAAAAGGCATGAATACGATATGGGATCTATTGAAGTAAAGTTAACAAAATGGACTGGCATTATTAGAGCATGGCAGGAAGCAATGGAAAGGTTCCCTAGAAATAGAATACTAAAAGTGCATCTTAAGGAATTGATTGATAAACGTAAGAAGCACTTAAAATATTTGAGAAGATGGGATTACAGGAAGTTTGAATGGTTAATTGAAAAACTGGATATTGTTTACAAACCACCTCCAAATGAGTTCCACTGGATAACAAGGAAGGATTCATTAAGAAAGCTTACAAATACTTATTGTGAGGACACAAGGAATGAGAAATTGGCAGCTTTTAGAGCTGTTTTGGAGGCAGAACAGCCAGCATTTTTGGAGGAAAAAATACGCACTTTACAGTTTATAAGAGATGAACAACAAGATTGTGGTGCTGATGTTACTGTAAGCCAAGAAGAAATTGATGGTGTTAAAAAACAATTGGCTGATTTGTTGGAAAGTAGGAAAGAAGAGGAAGATTGAATTTGTACATATAGTGTTATAAATAAATAGAGTGTTTGTATTTTTTGTTTGTATTAACCTAAATAACATTGTCTTTACATAAAATAACTTAATCAAAGTCCATAGCTGGGGTGGCTGTTTCATCATCCCTGCATTTAGCATGTTGTAATTCCCTTCTTATTTCTGCTGTTATTGTATGATGATTTTGTTTCTTCAGAAGTTCCAATAAAGAATCCCTTTGTTCACTGGAAATATCTGCTTTGTATCTTTGTACAAATGTTAGGAAGGCTTGATGCCATAGCACAGGCAACTCCCTGGTGTCCCTTTCAAATCTTAAGAAGTGAAACACACATGCATCCACTACCCTGTAAGGTAAGGCATACTTTTTGTCCAAGAATATTCTTAGAAATATAGAATTTGCGCCAGTGTAATCCATTTCTGCGATTTTTAAAAGAGCAGCAGAAGAATGTAGAATAGGTATGGAATTTCTTGCTACCACAGAACCAACAATAATTGCTTCTCTTAATGTGCAATTGCCACTTTCTAATAAAGGTAACAAAATACCCTTCATAAAGCCTCCAGGTTTAAATAATGCTTTCCGTAAAGCTTGATACAAATGGAAATTTAATCTTTTGTATTCAGCCAGATCATCTCGAATACGGGGCAACAGAACTAAATTAAAGAATCTTTGTGCCATTTTTTTCTTTTAAATTTGAAGCAAAAATCCTAGTTGCTTGGTACATGGCAGCTGCAGACCAACTTGGAGGATCACAAATGTACAAAATTTGCTCCCAGTTTCTAAGATTTGGCAAAATTTTAAAAGCCTTAGGTAACTTTCCACTCCTGTACTTTCTTAACACATCTCTGACTCCTTCATACATATTTTTTATACTAGGATCCAAATCCTGTATTTGTAAAGTACCAGCATCACTGAAATGTGTGTCTAATTCTGTCTGTTTCTCTGTGATTTTTTCCATAATAATATCAGCTAAAGTACGCCTGGGTGCTGGATTTGAACTCATAAACATTTCCATTGCTTTTTCATCATCCTCATTAATTTCAATATTTTCATAATAAGTATCAGGTTCAAGAATATCTTCTTCTTCCTTATCAGAATCAGAATCAATATCATCTCCAAGTTTAATTGGTTTACGCCTACCAGCTGATTCAGCTGGAGTGGGCCCAAACTCTTCCCTTTGCTGTTCACGGGCAGCCGATAAAATTTTTCGTGATAAATTGGCTCCAACAAACTACAAACAATGCGTTAAAAGTTTTAACTTAAAACCGATCTACTACGTTAAAATTGATTTTTATACCTGTTCTTCTTCATCTTGCCTTAAACGTATTTTACTCCTGTTTTTGCCTTTGGCAAACTTGGCTTCTTCTATATCTTGCTCTAAGGGTACTTTAGAACCCGCTTGCGAGGGTTTAATTCGCTTTGTTTTCCCCATACTGAAATTATATTTGTTTTGATAAGGCACGTGTGACTGGGAATGTCAAAAGAACATAACCTCAAATAAAATGTTAGTTATTCTTCTTCTTCTTCTTTGTTTAGTTTGGCCTTTCCCATCCAGGATATATATAGATGTGTATGGAATTATCCTTTTTCTATGGAATTTACTGGTGAGAGGTGTGTCTAGGCTGTCCTATATCCTTCTGTTAGTTATATTCTTAAATATTGTCAAAAATTATTAATGTGGCAACTTTGAATAATTTTGTTTAGTTTGGCAGCATTGTTTTTTTTCTTAGTTTGGCAACATTGATTTAATTTCCTTATGTTGGCAACGTTGTTTTAACATTCTAATTTTGGCAAATCTGATCTAGTTACTTTTTTCGTTGGTTGAGAACATTGATTTTTTAGTGTCAAAAATTATTAATGTGGCAACTTTGAATAATTTTGTTTAGTTTGGCAGCATTGTTTTTTTTTCTTAGTTTGGCAACATTGATTTAATTTCCTTATGTTGGCAACGTTGTTTTAACATTCTAATTTTGGCAAATCTGATCTAGTTACTTTTTTCGTTGGTTGAGAACATTGATTTTTTAGTGTCAAAATCAGTGCTGCCAGATGAACGGATTTATCCGTTTTTTACGGATTTTCCAGGTCTAGAGAAATTGGAAACGGATTTTGAACGGATTTTCATCAAATACGGATTTTTACGGATTTTTAAGATAGCTTCATACTAATACTAAAAAAACATCATTTTTGCCCCATTTTTTGATCATCTTTGTCACGCTTCTATTCCTCTTCCTTTTTACTACGTTAGACAGAAAAAGAAAGCGGATTGAAAAAGGATGTGTTCTTAATATAGGGTTCTTAAACGCCGAATATATGCGAAACATATGCTTTTTCATTGAGTGTGACAAAGAGAACGATAGTTTCATATCATTTGTTAAGGTTTTATAACACGTTGTTATTGCTGCCAATATATAAGCGGCGCAATGCCACCAATAGTAACGAACTGCATTGTGGCAATATTTTGATCTCAAAGTCAATGTTTATTATATATCCGAATCTGTATATAAAATACTTTATTTTGTGAAAAATGGAAAGTGACGAGAATGACGAAGAGGTTCAAACTTCTGAAACTCCCCCGAAAAATTCTGAGATGTTTCGGATTTTCTTTGACGAAAGGTATGTTTTGTCACGAAAATCCCCCTTATAGAAGAAATTTTTCGAAATTTAGACAAAAACGGATTTTTACGGATTTTTCGAGGCTTCCCCCCACCCTTTCCACGAATATATACGGATTATCCGACCATCTGCTCTGGCAGCACTGGTCAAAATGGAAGTGTTTGTCATTTGACGTAAACAATCAAAAAAATATTAAAAACAATAACTTATATTATGTACTTTGCGTAGAAAGAGTTTTTCTATGGTTCTCTGTTAAAAATTGACTTCGATAAACTATAAATGGCCAAAAAATTGCGTACTTCCATAGCTTGAACCCCTTGGTAGTGACCTGAATTCTTCAAAATGTTTAACAGTAGCTTGTTGTATGAAAAACGGCCCCTCAAAAAGCCCCGGATTGGGCCTCCGGATGTGTACCCACAAGAACCCAAACAGAAGGAAGATGAGTTGACTAGTACCAATGTTAAACATGGGTTCCCCATTATGACCCATCTCAGCGATGAATTTGGGACTGCAAGAAACTGCAATGTTACAGCAAGCAAAGTAGGTTTTATTTTTTTTATCTATTTTACATAAGACCATATACACAGCATTTTGCTGTATTCTACAGCATTTTAAAGGTCCAATCAGTATTTAGTTTAGTCCAGCAAATATGCATTTAGAAAATTGAGTACACATTTTTTTTCTACAAAAGTGCTATCAAAACACCATAATTTTGTCAACAAGTTTTGAACAAAGAACATTTTATTTTTTGCTGTACAAAAATTAAGAATGGCATTTCTGGTTGTTGAAATTTTTGAGAAATCACAGTATGAAATAAAATAAATAATTACTTAAAATGATACATTGGTTCCAAGTTGCATTTTAAAAATTTTACAGGGAGCAATTTTATGGTTAATTTGAGCTAAATTTAAATTTTTATGAAAAAGCACTATTATTATCACTGGGTCATTTTGTTTATTTAAAACCAAATGCCTTTTGCTTTTGAAGAAAAAATAATATAGGGCTTTGAATAAATTGATGTAATATTATAAACTACTTATATACCTACTTAATAAAACTACCACTTTATTACTAGACAATGTTGACATTTTGAGAAAATATGTAGGTATCCCTTGTATTGTTTTAAATAATAAAGGTAGAATTTTTTTTGTAATTTTTTGTGAGTCCTGCTTCATGATATATGTAGGTATATTATACCTTCACACTTAATGTGGGACCAAGTGTGGGAAATTTTTATTTCACCCCCCCTTGCAAAAGGCAAAATATAAGTTTTTACGTTTTAAGGATTTATTTACACCCATAATCCATTTTTTAAATTTAAATTAACCGTTTATCACCCCCAATTTATTTTAAGAAAAAATTCTCACATACATTATTAAAATATGAAATTAACTCTATATTTTAATACCTACATGTATTAAATGTTCACCCCTTCCCTTGCACCCCCGAATATTTTTTTTGTCAAAATATTAAACTTGGCACATATATCATATTCAAAATTCAAATCAAAGACCATAGGGAAATACTTTTGACCATCTTTTTCTGAATTTAGACACTAAATTAATTCATTTTAATTAATTAATGCCAACCTTGCATGTCTGTTAACTAAATTGTAATGTTACAAAATTTAGCCTATATTAATTAAAATTAATTTTGTATAGGTTGGTGCGTATTTCAATGCAATCATCGCTAAAAAAGAGGAGCTTAGTATGCTCCCTGATTCAGGACGTAAAAGACAACAGATAAATCCTAAGGACAATTTCTGGCCAGCCACTATAAGAACAAAAAATCACATTGAAGCATGGTTTAAAGATTTAGCTGGCAACAAGCCTTTAATGAATCTAGCTAAGAAAGCTCCAAACTTCAACAAAAAAGAAGAAATATTTATGATGCTCTGTGAAAACCAAGTCCCAATGATTAGAGCAGCTTGGTTTATTAAATTGAGCTCAGCTTATACTGTAGCTGTGTCTGAAGCTAAAATTAAGAAAAGACAAATGACTGATCCTACAACCGAATGGACAGGAACTTTGCTAAAGTTTTTAAAAGATCAAATACCTAAATTGCAAGATCACTATACCACAGTGGAAAAATTACCCCCTCCTCCTGTTACTCCAGTTCCAACTTTAACTCCAACATTGACCAATGAAACTGAACAGAAATTAGCTATTAGATATTGGGATTATTGCAAAAGACTTTTAAAGTATATGTATGAGGAAGGGCTGATGGACAGGCAAGAAGTTTTAACTTGGATTATAGAATTATTAGAGAAAAATAAAGCTCCATCTAATGATGATGGTCTTTTAAGAATATACCTTAATATTGTTTTGCAATATTTGGATGAATTTGTGCAATCTGAGTTACTTTCGAGAAGGTTATCTTTATGCTGTGCCAAAAAGTTGGGAGATATGTTAAATATTAATGATAATAATTTGATAACATCACCAGCCAGTGAGACTATCAAAACTGAACCTAAAGAAGCTGACAAAGATAAGAAGGAAGCTGCTGGAGCCAATCCTGTACAATTAAGTTTAATGGAATATCAAAACTGTCCACATCATAGAGATATAGGTAAACAATAAAAAATACAATATCCTACAAATGTTTATTTGGTTTATTTCTATAGTTCTTCAATTGAGCATGATAATCCAAACAATCACTTTGGAATGTCCCACTTCTTTGGTGTGGTGTGGGGCTGGGATTGGTACCATTTGGCATGGTTCCCCATTGGATAACATACCAATGGTGCCTTCATCTTTGCCCACACCAGCCCGTTGTGATATGGTAACATACAGGAAACAATTGGTTTTTGCTGAAAATTGCATAAGAGAGAGAAGCAAGAAAGCTGAAGGGAAATGGTGCACTGAAAAATGGCAGGCAGCTTCAGCTGGTAAGTTTGTTAAATTTTAAAATCAATTAAGTTATTATAGATAATAATTATTATAGAGTTCATAAATAAAGTTAACACATTTAGTAGTGAATGATACCGATATAAATATTGGTGTATCAGTAAATTCTTTTTATTTTTATTAATTTTACATATACATAGCTATTTTGTTTTTAAATTTTACTTTAAAGAATGCTTAAATAACGCACATTTTGGTCAATGAAAACAACACGTTTTTAACCAAATTAAATAAGTAATATACTATAGTTAACATTATTTAAAATTAAAAATAAAGTAACTGCAAAAGTTAGGTACATGATAAAAAACACAAGTAAACAAACATTAACATGAAAAAATAAATACAATGGCTACTATAGTAAAAAAATAATTTTAAAGTGTTTTTAGTTACATTATGAAATTAAAAAAATATATTTATTAAAAAGCCATAAATAAATTATTATTCTTTCATTTTACATGCAAATTTCTTTTGTAGTTTTCATTAAAATTAATTTTGACAATTTTTACTCATATGTATGTATGTATATTGAATAGTTGTGCCTATACCGATATTATTTCGGTATCGGCAACTAAAATATCGATATAGAACGATTATCGGTATCGGCAAAAAAATTCGTATCGGCCGATATTACGTTTGAGCATTATTTATAAAAAAATTAAATGCGTTATATGTATTGCATAGTTTTTAAAATAAAAATTCAAAAGGCATTGATATTTATTGGACTGCTTATAACATTTTTATAAGGGAGACGAATCCGCGATAAAATATTTTTTTTCGCCCAGAGCAATCAATTATACAAATTCCCTTAAATGTATGACTTTTTAAATTTCAAAACGAATAACGAAATTTTACAAAATTATCAAACATGAAGAAAACGATTCGACTTTCTCTTCAAGAATTCATTATTTACTTTCCCGGCAGAATTTTAAAATACAAATTTAATTTAAAAAGAAATATTTAAATTAAAATGATTTTTTTCTACCAAAATTCATTACAAAATATTAAATTAAACTGTATTATTATCAAGATTAAAATTATTTCTTACGATTGAAATTTGTCTTAAAATAATTGTTAAAATAAATTTAATCCCATTTAAGAACTAAACGTTTAGTTATTATGAGTTATTTTTGACCAATCAAGACGTACATAATTGTGGTTAAATTCACACAGGTAGAAATTTTAAGACGTCTGTCACATATGCGATATGGATATTTAAATCATCTAGTATCAAAACCCCTTAAATCAGTTTTGATAAAAATGAGATACATGCATTAAAATATTCCTACCTATCAATGCGTGCCTAGAAATGTTTGCAAAAGCCATCAAATATCAAAATGAATATATACATTTTGTGGCTTTTTCAACCATTTGAATGCACAAATTGATAGGTAGTATTTTTTTAATGCATGGTTCTCATTTTTCATCAACACGGATTTATAAATCTTAAATTTAAGGGGTTTTGATAATGGGGATTCATTTGATATATTATATACGTTAAATAACGTATACAATAAATATTATCTTATACAGCATTCTAAAAACAAATTTGCCAACTGAGAAAACGCATTATACTTTTAATATTATTTACATTTAATATTATTACCGCGTTCTCCTGTGTGTGAACTGGTCTTGCTTTGCAGCAACATCTAATTAGTTATTAAATAGAATGGTCCATAGTTTTAAGAAATTAATAGCTAAAACACAATCCACACAACAAGGTCTGTTCTACCTCGCACTAAAAATACTAAAAATCACTGCAACACTGCACAGAGTTTAACGACGGCCATTTTTGTTGTTTAAAATTCTTGTGCTTTGGGTTTGTGCTCTGTTAATACAGATTAATAATTGTTTTAAACGTTGTTTCTTACAGAGTCACTTGTAAGCCTCAAATGAGGCCTTAAAGTGCTAAGAACAACCAATTTTACTCCTCTTTTTCAAAAAATAATCCTTATTCTATCAGGGCTGTCATCAACCTGTCAAATTTCAATTTTAAGGTTAATTTACCTAACCCAAAAATTTAAATTTGACAGCAGGGTTGCCAGGTATGTAAAATACAATTTAGCCAGTTGGACTGAATAAAATAGCCATGAAATAGCCAACTGTTAAAAAAAAAACAAATAGCCAAAAATAAGCCAACTGTTAAAAACAAAAATATCAAATTAACAAAAATAAAATTTGTATATAATTTAAATAAAACAAAATACATATTCTATAAAATTAATTAACATCATAAATTATTAGACTTGAGTCACATGTATTTCAGAAAATTAGTTTTTCTTGCGAGGTTACATAAAAACAAAAACTAATTTTCTGAAATACAAGGAACTGTAAAATTATCACCAATAATTTTTATACTTCCTGTTAAGTAATCTTCTGATTCTGCATTAATTATATTTAGATCTAATAACATTTAATACTTATTTCAAATAAGTTATTTGTTTAAAACATTTCATTAAATACTTAAAAAAAGAAGAGATTAATAGCTAAGATCCACAGATTTTAAAGGTTAGAGAACTAGTATCTTAGAAAAAGGTACGAGTATGCCTGTGAAAACGTGCAGGCAACCTAGACCACACGGCCGTATTTGTTTTGAACGAAGTACTCGTATTAATAAATAATAAAACTCAAATGTTGAAAATACAGTACATCTATCATGTATTAGCAGTTGTTGCCTGTATTAGCCAAAAAATCACCAAACCCTTTTGAAATATAGCCAACTTTTATAGCCATACGCCAAACTGATATTTTTTTAGCCATTGGCTTTAAAAAGTAGCCACTTTGGCTAAAATTAGCCATACCTGGCAACCCTGTTTGACAGTTTTATGACAGCCCTAAAAGAATGATTTTTTTACAAAAGAGGAGTAAAATGGTTGTTCTTACCACTTTTAGGCTTACAAGTGCCTCTGTGAGAAACACAACGTTTAAAACGATTATTATTCTGTATAAACAGAGCACAAACCCAAAGCACAAGAATGTAAACAACAAAAATGGCCGCCGTTAAACTTCTTGCAGTGTTGCAGTAATTTTTAGTATTTTTAGTACGAGATAGAACAGACCTTGTGTGGATTGTGATATTATTTACAATATGTTTTAGCTATTAATTTCTTAAAAATATGAAAATATATTTAATTATTTACTCTACTAAATAACAAAACAAGTAAAACATTTTATTTTTAGTTTTGATTGTTTTATTTTAATTATTCTAAACAGTTATATATTTCCAGAAAGTTTACAAGAAACCCTTCTGGATGTTACAGAAATACTTTGTTTAGGTACAATAACTACAAGAGTTCTCGCTGCTTTGGATGCATTAGATCGTCACAGATTCGATAAAATGGACTCGTCCAACTCATTGGACACACTCTACACTAAAGTAATTAGCAACCTCTTAAAATTCCGCATACATCTTCCTAACAAAACAATAATCTTCACAGGTATTTTCTGGCAATCCAGACCAAGAAAGCGCAGTTGTCAAGTTGCTTTGCGAGTGGGCCGTTTCGCCGGAAAGAACCGGCGAGCACCGAGCTTTGGCGGTGGCGGCGCTGCTGGATAGGAGGCAGTCGGACTCCAACGCCACCGGCGACCAGGAAGCCGCCTCCGGCGACGATAAGGACTCCACCAGTTCGATGCCGGGCGGACCGCCAATGTTTCAGTCTTTTCTGATGAAATTCCTGGACAATGATGCTCCAGTCTTGGCTCCAGACGACTGTTCGCAAGTAAGTCCAAATACATTGTCTTAATTTTTTTTGTACCCACTAAATATTTACTTAGTAATTATTTATTGAATGGGCAAGTTTAAATTACAATTTTAACCAGTTTGGTCATAAAAGGAACCCACTCGGAAACCCATAAGGGTTTAAAGGATCACTCTCCTGTCTGTCCATCTGTCACAGCTTTTCTTCGAATATACTTGACGAAAAAGTTGATTTTTTTTAAATTTGGGGGTTGAGGCTAAGCATGGGTAATACCCATTGGGTATCTCGCTTATCTTTAGATTCAAAACGAAATTTGACAAATTATTTTTAATTTTTAAGATATATGGTGGATTTATGCAGCACAAATTAACATTAAGATTAAGATTAATTTAACATTAATAGGAGGGTATTTATGCAGCAAAATTAGTGGGAAATTAAGCATGCGTATAAGTTAAAGTAATTTTGACATCTGACATTTTTGGTTTGTTTGAATTTTGTTTTAATCCCGTTTTAGCATCTGTTAAGTAAAATAAATGAAAACTATAAACTCCACGTCAAACAATAAACCAAAGAACACAATCATTGAATAAAAAATCAATCATTCAGCATTAAGTTTCATTTTATTTTCGGCTATGTTGGCATTACTGACATGGTTTATTTAAAAATTTCGCCGCAAACCTGCGCAGGAGGAATAAAAATTAACATTATCATTAAAAAGATAAAAGTTGGCCATCTCTTAATGTTAACTTAATGCTAAAGTTAATGTTAATGTGTTGCATAAAAGCTTCCAATGGATTACGTTCATTTAACTTCTTAATGTTAATGTTAATCTTAATGTTACCTTAATGTTAATGTGTGCTGCATAAATCCAGCAATAGTAAAAAAAACGAGGATTTGTAATTTTTATTTTATTTTTTTATTTAAAAACGGTTAAAGGTAGCCTTTTCTAATTCATTCATTACTAAGGCACTTTTTAAGGAGAATTTAAATATGTCAAAATCTTTTTGCTTCCTTTGAAAACTGACTCGACGGACACCTTGAACCAATTTGTTACAGGCACTCACAAATTTTCTTTAATTTAACAAGTTTGGAATACAATGTTCAACTATAACTTAAATTATCAACAGTTTTATAAATTTATAAAGACCAACAACAAAATCCTGAAGCTTTCTCAATCGTCATCAAAATATATTGACTCATATCGTTTTTGCTATACAGGGTGGCCGATTTATCTGAAGACATTGAAATATTTCGAAAACTACGCATCGGATCAAAAAAAGTTTTGAATAAAATTTGTTCGCCTGGAAGGGGGACATCCAATGATACCAAAGTCGACCCCTCACCACCACCCCATGGGGTGGGGGTGGGGGCAACTTTAATATTCTAAATAGGAACCCCCATTTTTTATTGCAGATTCGGATTTACTATTAAAAAATAAGTAACTTTTATGGAAAAACTTTTTTTAAATTCCTGATAGATGGCGCTGTAATCGCAAGAAACCCGATTTTTGGGAATATCTTAAAAAATTACACATCGGATCGAAAAAAAGAAAAACTTGTTTAATTTTTGGATTTTATTCGTATATCAATAAGTTAACATCTATTTTTAAAATTACCCAAGAATGGGAAATCCGAATCTGCAATTTTTCAAGATATTCCCAAAAATTGCGATTACAGCGCCATCTATCAGGAATTTAAAAAAAGTTTTTCCATAAAAGTTACTTATTTTTTAATAGTAAATCCGAATCTGCAATAAAAAATGGGGGTTCCTATTTAGAATATTAAAGTTGCCCCCACCCCCACCCCATGGGGTGGTGGTGAGGGGTCGACTTTGGTATCATTGGATGTCCCCCTTCCAGGCGAACAAATTTTATTCAAAACTTTTTTTGATCCGATGCATAGTTTTCGAAATATTTCAATGTCTTCAGATAAATCGGCCACCCTGTATATGTAAAATATACTTTCTAGCTTTGAGTTCGCGCGCTTACGCCGGAACGGAATGAAACGAACGAACTTAATGACGAAGAACTGTCGCACGTGCGATAAAGTAGGCGGAGCTTATGCAGTTTCTCTGTATATTCTTAGCCTGCTGGTGGCGCGCCACCAGCCTTTTCGAGGGAATCGCAAATTTTAATAGGGAAACGCGCACATATTTAGTGTGCTCCAAAACCAGTTTGCCACAGATTGCCTCGTTATAATTTCATAATTCGTGGTGCGTTCCTGCGTTTAGCAATTTTTATAAAGGCTTTTATTATTAGTTCTCTGTTGCATTAATATTTTAACAATTATTATTAACACTTTAACGGTGGAGTACTGAGTAATGAGGCTGTTTGTAAGTTTGCTGCAAATAAGGACAGAAGAATAGACTAGTTTAAACACTGTACACAATAATAAAATATAAATTAGCATTTTGTTCTTTCTCTAATCTGATGTTTTGTATTGTTTTCAAAGCTTAAAAAGTAATAATAGTCGTGCAAGAAACAAAAAAATTCCCTGGCGCTTTTTTTTAAATTGTGAACCTCCTTAATCATAGATAACGAGCCGCCATTGTTTATATCGGAAGTGATTAAACAATCAGTACAGTATTTTCCACTACACACTAGATTGACACAGATTAGGCCGTAATCTGATTGGTTAATTCTTATTAAAATTTTCTGTAGTAAGTAAACTCGCAAACTTAAAGCGGGTTAAAACAATTGATTGTAACTTGGGTAAGTGAGCAACATTCTAAAAACATGTAAGGTGATGGAGGTCAAAGGATTTTACCGAAAAACTAGCATGAGGCTTTTATTCTAGCAATTTTTTACAGAAAAAGACGGCATTTTCAAACCTGGTTCACCTATTTTCCGAACTTGTTAGAAGAGATGTCTTTTCCCATGACGCTTACATGTGTACATTAATATCAAGAGGAGATCTTCTTGGACATGAAGAGACCCCTGATCATAATCAACATTTTCCCACAAAAATTGAGGTAAGATTTCCCAACAATGCATTTCTCCAATACATTTTTCCAATACTGTAGCCTATGGATTATGACGACGCCAACATCGACCACGACCTCGGCCAAATACTTCAGAACATAAAAGAAGACCAGCAGAACTCCATGGACGTGCCGGACAGTCCCAAAGACCACGATCACGTGCACCACGCGCACGTGCCCTCTTCCATGGGACACGTTCCCATGGAAACCGATCACGGCCACAAAGTAAAGCACTCGCGCCATCTGTTATACACCACGCACTTCCCGCTGTCCCAGGACGATTCTTTTTCGCAGCACGATTGCAATCAGAGGCACGTCTTGTTGTATGGAGTGGGAAAGGTAAGATGTTCGAGACACAATACAAGTTCCAGTTCAACCATGAAACACAGTGCGATAAAATTTGATTTTTTTCCCTCCCATGAAATTAGAAAATTAGACTTAAAAAAATGATAACCGCGTCTCGGCGTATTTTCAGATCACGTCATTTTTTTTAAGTGCGATCCAATAAAATTTTATCCACGGTATTCGGCTAATAATATAACAGCTTCGATAACAGCTAGACTGTATATTTAAAAAAAAATTATTTACTTAATAAATGGACAACCATTAAAATTATTTATTTATTTTAAAATTACTTTAGTTATATAAAGGGTGTTGCACATCTACGAAATAAGTGTGTTCCACGTTCGTGGTCCATCCAAGTTTCTGAGGAACGGCAAAAGATATCGACTTGAAATTTTTAAAGCGTTTATAATTCACTTCCGGTTTCACTCCACCATATACCTAAAGTGGATAGTTTTCGAGTTTTTGCTATTAGGTTTGCGGAAATGGGGGTGACATTTTTGGAATCTTAACATTGTTTAAAAGATTTCATGTTAATTCTTTAACATTTTTAACAAATTACCCAAGAAAACCCAGGGAAAATTGGGCTAACTTGAAACGTTAATAACTTTTTTATTTTAAATGAAACCCTGTAATTTTTTACATAATCAAATAGAAAATTAAAAAACATTTTGATTGGTGTAATTATTCCCCTTAAAATTTAATAATTTTAGAGATATTTAACACTTTCTAATATTAGACCCAGAATAGTCAAGAAGAACAATGTTTAATGTAGAAGTAATAATTAAGAAATACTTAAATGTAAATGGAGAACACTTTGAACATTTAGTAATAACAATTGTTAATTAAAATATTGTTGGTTTATTAAATTGTTACATTTACGCATTATTTTTGTTATTAAAATATTTCATAAAATAAACTATTCACATAAGGTAAAGGACATGGTATAGTAATTTTAATCAGAATTGTATGTAGAATTTAAAAATGTAAAAATATATGGGGTGTTATATTTGAAATAACAAAGTTGATATCACTTCCGGTCAAACCAGAAGTGGCATTTTGTTCAAAATATTTTTAGAAAATAGACTTAAATGGATTAAATTTCAAATCGATATCTTTTTCCGTTCCTTAGAAACTCAAATGGACTACGAATGTGAAACACCCTGTATATCAAGTGGTGGTTTTTAGGTTGTGATACTTTTTGCTTTTGTTTTACTTAAAAAAAAATTTATTAAAAATTAAAATTATTATTTTCTTAAACTATAATTTTTGTATAATGTAAAAACATACAATATTTGAAGAAAAAAAATAATTTATAAAAAAATAAAGAATTAATAATCTGTTATAGGTTAAAATAATGGCTGTATAAAAAATTTAAATGACATGATTTCGGAGAAAAATCGTGTTGAACTGTGTAATTTATTAAACAAAATTGTAGATTATTTTTGCTGAACATTTTTTAAAACTTAGGTTCGCGATGAAGCAAGACACACTGTGAAGAAAATGTCCAAAGAAATCTGCAAGTTATTCTCGAAAAAATTCTCGGTAGACGTGGCAGAGGGGGGTAAAGTGAAAAAGCACTCGCGCAACGAGTTCAATTTCGAAGCCACCACGCAGAAATGTCAAAGTTTGAGTTACTTTGACCAACACGTCGTGACTTGGCAATGCAGCGTCACCGTAATCGAAATGTTGAATTCATTTGCGACCGGCAATTCGAACTATTTACCTGTGCAAGAGCACGTGGCATTCTTATTCGATTTGATGGAGTTAGCTTTGAATATCTACGGGCTTATTGATGTTTGCATACAAATTTTAAAGGAGCTACCCGAAGTTGAAACTCAATTACACAACAAAAACTCTGTTCTGAGCAGGAACTACACGACCTCTTTGAGCTTGTATGTGGTGGGAGTCTTAAGAAGATATCATTGTTGTCTTTTATGTAAGTTAACTTAAACCTTAACATCTGCATCCCCTATTTATCTAATATAGTGACAAAACTTTTTTTTTATAAACATCTGTTTGAAGTGAAACTTCTTGGCGCATGAATATATATAAATTGCTATTTAAATGTTTGGCCTATTATAAATAGTTTAGTTTAAAAGTCTAAAAACGCGTAATTTTTGGAAATATTAATTTTTCCCTTAGTAAGGATCATCAGTCTTTTATATGAAAAAAAGTGGCTAGAAGAATGTAGGGAGAAAAAATTTTATAACCCAATGAAACTGAAATTAAAGTTAGGACAGAATTTTTATTTCGACGTTTTCTATATAATTTACATGTGGCACATGACTAAGGATTAAAATAAAAACAACACGAACTTAATTAAATTGTCCAAAAGAGATTTCACTTCAGCTGTGTATTTTTTTAGTATCTCCCGCGCAAACCTCTGCAGTTTTTGAAGGCCTTTGTAAAGTTGTTAAGCACGTATCAAATCCAGGCGACTGTAGCTCAGCGGAAAGATGTATTTTAGCCCACCTATACGACTTATACTCGTCTTGTAGCCTGTTAAAATCCAAACCCCACACCGTAGAACCGTTCGGTAACGCATATCCGAAAATACGACAAGCGTTGTACACCGCGATACAACCCACGCCAAGCAGCAATTACATCTACAACACGCAGTTTATGCAGGAAGTGTTTTCGAATCCCAGGCGAGGCGGCAGAATCGAGAGCAGCTGGGCCAAACAGTTGAACGAAAACGGAAATAATCGGTATTCTTTTGTCAGCAACGCCGTGATAAACGTGTGCAGAGAAAATGATAACGAAAGGTTGAACGACTTGGCAATAATGTGCGCAGAAATGACGGCTTGTTGTAACTCGCTGGCCTCGGAGTGGTTAGGAGTGTTGTTGGCACTTTGTAGTCCCATGTCTAATCCGGGGTATTATACTGAGGTTTTGGCACAACTGGACACACAGGTAAAAATAAAATTTAACATTATTTTGTCATGGCAATATATAAATGTTAAAATTTTTTATTAAGACAAAATTTGCTGTTTACTATATTTTTAATGTTTTAGGATGTGACTATTCACAATGCATTGGCAGTGTTTACATGTATTTTAATAGCAAGGCATTGCTTTTTACTGGAAGATTTTGTTGGAAGAGTGGCTCTTCCCAGTTTGTTAAAGGTGAGCTTATACAATTTTATTGACTTATTGACAATTTTATACACACTCCAAATGTGCCTTATTATGTATTAGGTTGGAGTTTTATGAACTAAGGTTCCAAAAAATTATATAACTCCATAAATAAATAAAGAATCCCTTACCAATTGATATCATTTTCAGACTAAGAAAGAGTCAAAGTTCCCAGATATTCACTATTATGCAGGGCTAATAAGGGCTTCTACTACTAACGTTAGTAGTAAATGTTTTAATTGTCTTAATGTTTGTTTTATTATACCCAACAAAAATGTTTGTGTAAATTATTGCTTACACTCTATTTTCTTGTTGGTTATAATCTTATGGCTGTATTTTCACCTAATGTTTTTTGTTTTCAATTATGTTTAATAGTTAAAAGATGTCTAAAGAATATGTCCTTGCATTATTTTATTACCAAAGGCATGTTTGATGTTCCCCTTCCATTTCTTTTCCATATTTCACATATTTTCGAAAAACGCTCAAAAAGATATAATATAAAACGCAATAAATTCACTGCAACTTTACGTACATTTTAGAAATGTTTTATCCAAAAGCGCATAATGGAATATTAAAGAACAAATGTTATAAGACGCCATTTTCTCGCACGAGCACAAGTGCGAGAAAAAGTCTTATGGAATAAGTTTCTTGTACTATTTTTTCTATTTGCCAAAATTTTGAGGATAATATCAAATTATAATTAATATACCGATTTAGGGATTTATTTTGCAGTTGGTAGTACCAGATGTTAGCTTAACCTCAAGTCTTAAAATTTGTTTAAACCACACTGAGAAAAAAGTTTATTGCTCCCAAATAAAAAAAATATTTAAATATGGGACAAGGGTACAGTTTATTTATCCTAAATATATTTTTATTCCCGACATATAAAGTTTTACTAAAGTATATTTATCGTTATTATTTCGACTATTTAGAGGTAATAAACAATATATTCACTATTAATAAAAGTATTAGCTACACAGTTTATTTGTCTCATTTTTTTCTCAGTGCACAATCTTGTATAAAAGTCAAGAAGACTAAATACAGCAGAATTAACTTGCTAGGGGGGGGGGCACGCCAAAAAACGTACGTACGTACGTTAGCAGTAATAGAACAATTTTCAAACGCTGGGGTTTATCACACCCCACATATGCCGGGTTAAACATTAAAGCAGTGGCGGCTGGTGGATTTTGGGCACACCCATATCTCAGTTATTAGACATGGGACCCACATCAAATTTATATGAGTTTATAATGACATTATATAGACAAGTTCTGCGCAAGCAGAATTTAAATTAAAGTTTGCGAAAAAAAGTTAGTTTTTAAGTGCAACCCCCAGCCTCCTGCCCCTCCAAATTAAGGTAATTCAAATTAAAGTGGTACTATATTTAATTCACTGAAGTTTATCGACAAATTTTAAATTTTATTAAAAAAATTCAAGAATTACAGGTTTTATACCATTTATAATTTTTATTATTTCTTTTACTAAATTTAAAAAAAATTGAAATAGTATAAAATCTGTAATACTTGAATTTTTTTAATAAAATTTGAAATTTGTCGAGAAACTTCAGTGAATTAAATATTTTACCACTTTAATTTGAATTATCTTAATTTGGAGGGGCAGGAGGCTGGGGGTTGCACTTAAAAACTAACTTTTTTTCGCAAACTTTAATTTAAATTCTGCTTGCGCAGAACTTGTCTATATAATGTCATTATAAACTCATATAAATTTGATGTGGGTCCCATGTCTAATAACTGAGATATGGGTGTGCCAAAATCCACCAGCCGCCACTGCATTAAAGTATTCCTAAAATATATGTGTATAACAATAATGAAATACACTCACCGGCAAAAAAAACCGGCAACCAGATGTTGGCAACAATTTTAATATTGGTTGAGTTTTTAGTAACGATACTGTAGCCCCTTAGACCTTATAACACTGAACGCGTAATGTTTGGCTTCAAGATGTACCGCAGAGTGGCGGAGCAGTTTCAAGGGAAATCTAAGAAAATGTGTACTTAAGTATTATATAATTGTTATAGATTGATCAAATTCAAATTTATACTTAAAAAATTGTATGTATTATTGACTAGGGCATCCCACCACGTGACTTGATACCAAAATTAATGTTAATTTCTGTCAGTTTCAATCTAATGTTGTCCTATTTTCAGAAAATAATGCAATATATCTATTTTTTGTGTTTAATTTAGAACACAAAAAATACATAGGTATATTAAAGCCACATATTGCGTTTGATTACATGTCCAGTGTTATTTGGTGTAGCCCTTTTTTTCTGAACATTTTGAAATAAGTGTAAAGTCAATATACGCTGGAACGGACGTCATTTATTTAAAAATAAGACAGTAAAAGTTGTCAAATGAGAGAATACCGTTTTCTGTGACGGATATTTCTTGTATTGTGACAATAATTGAAGTCAACGGTATCACATTGTGTCCAATAAGAACACTTTATCCAAGGCGTTGACTTTAAAACAGTTTATCTTCGTTAATAACAGATAAAAAAAACAAAATATTTAAAAAAGATAGGATGATGATTTCCGCTGTTATTGGTGTCACAGGGTGTAACAAATTTTTCGGGGACTATCCCGCTCATTACTTTATGGACCAATCAGATTTCAGAATGACACCTGTCAGCAGTTTTTTCGAGTTTACCCGGGGCAAAACTTGACAGCTGTTGTCACCAAAAATTTCAATTTATATCTTAATTAGGTATACCATAAATAATTAAGTTTGTAGGAATTTGTGATTAAATAAATCACCTATTTTTCAGTTTTCAAATTAATACCTACATATTTATTATGTATGCATGTATAATAGGTAGTATGTTTTGTAAGCTATGTGTATGCAGAATAACTGTTACTCATGAAATAGTCTTGTCAAATACCATTTGGGCATCAAATTTTTCCTGTAAAAAAAATCGAAAAAACACAATGCTAAGTAATATTTTTTAACAAAATGCATTCGTGCAGGTGCAAAAATCCTCGTCTTCGACTCGGATTTTTGTTGCCACCAGCACTCATGCTTCTTGTTAAAATATTGCTTAGCAACGTGTTTTTTCGATTTTTTTCGGAAAAATTAGATACCCTTATGATATTACTCGCCTAGCTGCTCGTGGTCTTAAAAATTAATGCCACTTCCGAAATTTACAAGAAAAAAACCGTATAAAAATCAAAAATTTTATCGGTAAAATTTTACCAATAGTGTTATTATATCCAAAAAAACTTCTACTTACTTTTGCACCCTGTATATGCTATCTGAACAATTTTTTTACAATTCAAAGATAAACTCATTAAAATTATGTAGATGAGCGTTTCGCAAGAAAATCAACATTAAAATTCTGGTCATTTTCTGGTGGCCGGTTTTTTTTTGCCGGTGAGTAATATATATGTTTACAAGTTTGTCAACAGCCGATCGGTCACCCTTTCAATTATTGTAATAATTATAATAATTATTATTGGCGTTTTTCCAAAATCCTCATCATCGTCAATCCAGATCACATAATATGTTAATAAAAACCCCAGCAACCCACCACTTAACTAACTCTTTCCAGGTAAAAAGTCTAGACAACGGAGGCGGCGCAGCCGAGGCGGGCATGCGCCTCACTTGCCATCTGCTGCTGCGCTTGTTCCGAACCGCCGAGGGTCCGCAACCCGGCCTCTATTCGGTCGGTTCGCCGCCCCTCACCGCTCCGCGCCCTCCTCTGGGCGTGCGCCTTAGCTGCGACCGCCACTTGTTGGCGGCGGCGCACCGTAACATCCACGTGGGACCGGTTTTGGCGGTGCTGAAGGCGGTTTTGATTGTGGGCGATGCCACGGCCAAAGAAGGAACCGAATTAAGTTTGTCCAACATTTTGGGGACCAGCGATTTACACGGGGTGGACGGGCCCAATTTGGATCTTGCGTAAGTTTTGCTGCATTTTTTATTGTATTTATTTATTTTGAGTTTTACAAGTATGAAAGTAGACTAATATTTAAGCATTAAGTAGTCATGTAATTTATAAGGTTTTGTGTCAAGAGTCTACATTCATGCCATATAACTTTTAAATTTATTTGAATTTTGTTTTCTATATTATCAAAAAATTAAATTGAATGCCAAAAATTTTACTATGTACTGAAGCCGTAAGTTGAAATTGGTTGTTTCTGTTCCAATCAGTGTTGACATGGAAGTTTGCGGATCCAGGACGTCGCATAGGTTTGTCGATGATCATAATATCATTATAAACTATGCTTTGACTGTGTCACCAAACCCTCAAACCTCACCCCCAAACCCTTATTTATTTTATATGTTGCCACATTTTTTTAAGAAAGTTTAAACTACTCTGCTTTACCAACTTTAAAAGTGACAAGATAATGTAATTTTTAAACGCAATTAGTTTAGTAAAGCGAACTTTAATTTAAAATTTTACAAACCAAACATTTCTTAAAAAATGTGACTTCAGGCTCTGTCTTTATTTGTTCTAATTAATGTATGCGCGTTTGTATTTGTGCGCAAGAATATTTGGAACTAAAGACACTTTAAATTTCGAATGCGGTCCCTTGCAAATGCTTTCACATAAATACACAAATTAAATAATTGAGGCATTAATAATACTTTTTACATAGTTGACAAGAAATAGATTTGATTTAATTTGGGAATGTTTCTGTTTTTGTAAATATAAAGAAAATGTAAGTTAAATTTTTTGTCCATTCGTTCATTGAATGTTCATTTGGGAATACTTAATAAAAATGCATGATGTGAAAACTAACATTAATTGTTAAGAAAAAACTCTGTGTGCTTCATTTTGCAAAAGTCCTCTGTGATTGTCCTAGCGAAAATATTGTTTTTACTGTAAATAACTTTCAAATAGTCTATGGGTACACTAAGTGCTTGTTATTCACTTTTTCATTGTTTTAATGTACCTAACTGTTTTATAAAAAGTGATTAACAATTGTTAACAAAACGTACAAACAGAGAAGACCTTCTCTTTTTGTACACCATTTTAGTATACTAACCTTATGATTTTGTTTAAATTTTTAGACAATCTAGCACCGGCAACGCAGAGAGCACGGCCTCTTTGTCGGCATTCGCAAATCACGTCCTAAGAGAAATTTGCTCGCAACAATGGGTGTTGGAACGTTGCCTTTCGCATCCGGAAGAACTGTGCGAAATGGACAACCTGCTGGACCCTTTGCTGTCGCACTCGCAAGCTCAAAGATTGCTGCACATGATCTGCTATCCAGATGCTGGGTCTAACATTGACGATTTAGACCAAAAAAGCATGATCAGTCGAATCTTGGAGGTAATAAATATCACAATTGTTTGGAACCCCTAAGGAACATGTATATTAGGGTGTTTCAAAAAAATCGACTTTTTCTTTTTCTTCAAATGGTCAGCAAATTCTTTCAGAAAATGTCAAAACAAAGACATCGTTAAAATTTGAGCTTTTAATTTGAACATTTAGAGGTCGCGGATCGCAATTTTCTATTTCCCATTTAAATAACATAGGAATTTTTTTTTTTTAACTTTGGAATTTTATACGTCTATATCGAATCAACTTATGGCAAGGAACATCTTAGATTTTTATAGTAAATTTAACGCTCTATAAAAAATGTCTCTTATAGTTTTTCTATAAATTAATTTCTTCCAGAGTTATTCGAGGCCAAAGTTTGATTTCCATCGAATTTTCTCGTTTTTTCAACTTTTAGCATCATGTAGTAAAAAAATCACATATTTATATCTGAAACATAGGAAGTGTTGTAAAAAAAAACAAAAAAACAAAAAAACGTCACTTTTTTCCAAAGCCTACTACAAAGTTTTAATGAAAATATGAGATGTGTATAATATGCAAAGTAATTTATTTATAAATGCATTTTTCTCGAAAATGGTGCATCTGAGCAATTCAAATCAAGAGTACCTATTTTTCGTAAAAAACTATAAATTCTCATAATTTCATAAAAAAAATTAAATTATTAACCCAGAAAAAAGTTGGGGCTATTTTTGTAACTTTGCCCCCTCCAAATGTTACGCCTATTATTAAATTTTAACAGTTTTGATCATAGATCTAGATTCAGCATGTCAAAATTACCAAAGTAGCGAAAATTCATTTGTTCATGTTCAACCCTCTAGGAATAGTTTTAAAAAAATTATCCTCTTAGGCTCCTATTCAGGGGGCCGTAGCTCCTTTAGGGAGCATTTTTTGATACATGTTTATTAAACAAAAAAAGTGTTATTTTTATACGAATAATGCACTGTTTAAGTTTGGCCCCCTAATTTCGGGATACTCGTAAATGATAATTGTACCATAAATGTTAAAAAAACGCGAAAATTCGATGGAAATCAAACTTTGGCTTTGAATAACTCTGGAAGGAATCAATTTATAGAAAAATGATAGGAGACCTTTTTTGTAGAGCGTTAAATTTACTATGAAAATCTAAGATGATCCTTGACATAAGTTGATTTGATTCAGACGTATAAAATTTCAAAGTTAAAAAAAAAAATTCCCATGTTATTTAAATGGGAAATAGAAAATTGCGATCCGAGACCTCTAATCTTCAAATTAAAAGCTCAAATTTTGACGAGGTCTTTGTGTTGACATCCTCTGAAAGAATTTGCCGACCATTTAAAGAAAAAGAAAAAGTCGATTTTTTTGAAACACCCTAATGTATATTTTATTCTTTTTATTTCTTAGAACCTTGAACAATGGACTCTAAGAATGTCGTGGCTGGACCTCCAACTAATGTTCAAGCAATTCAGCTTAAACTCGCCGGAACTATCGCACTGGCTGGAAACCGTAGCTAAAGCTGCCATAGACGTGTTCCAATTGAACGCGCCCAGCAACCCAACGCCGAAAACGGAAGATAAAAAAGGCGAGAAGAAAAATTTGCAATCTTCGATTTGGTTGGTCGCACCGTTGGTGTCGAAGCTACCCAGCGCTGTACAGGGGAGGGTTTTGAAGGTGGCCGGCCAAGTTTTGGAAGGTGGGGGTTGGGTGAGGGAGCAGAAGAACAAATGCAGGAGCAGCGGCGATAATCAAATTTTGCTGACGCATCAGCCCTTCCTGACTTTGGTGCTGACTTGTTTAAAAGGACAAGAGGAAGGCCAGAGGGAAGGATTATTGTCCTCTCTACATCAGCAGTTATCTCAGGTATGTTAGAAATACATTATACAAAAAATTTTATTACATATGATAAACTTTTTTTTGTTAAAATTTAAAAAAATCTACATTTTTTATTGTTTGTTACTTAATATACAAAACCAAGTTATTTTTTACTTTATTATACAGTTTTATAGTTCGAAATGCATTTTTCTGAGAATATTTCAACTACGTTATATTTTATAAAATAATTTATCTTTTCACAAAAATGCATTTTTAACTTTTAATATGATTTTAGAAAATGATTTGTCAGAATAAAATTTTTGGACTTGTACTGTATCTAAATCTCACTGATTCAATTAGATCCTGGATTTAATGTAAAATACCTTTTGTTGATTTTTAAGGTTTTAATTTAAAACTTCGTTGTTGTTAAATTGCGGTACATTTGCTAAAATGCAGTATTTCCGTGAAAGAATGTAATATACAGGATGTCCACGGATGGGGTTACAAAGTGGACATAAATTATTTAACTTATCTAAAATTTCATAAAAGTTTTTGATTAATTTCAAACACCCAGAATATGAGAGATTTTTATTATCTATGGTTATTTTTCAATTTTGATTTTTCTGAAAATTTTGGACTAATTATTTTTTTACGATCTAAAAACCAATAGAAAATTTCAAATTTAGCCATCAAAACGTTATTACAGTGGAAATAACCTCCTGTACATTATTTTCTTACTTACAAACCATTTATCGCACAAATGCCAATATACTTTTAAAATACGGGCAATTTTAAGAGCAACATTTTTTTATAAAACTTACTTTTATCACCGATGCGTTGTTGCATGAGTATATGAAAAAAAAACGCAACAACTTTTTTGGAAATTGGTTTTCTCTCTTTTTACCCCATATGCAATGTTTTCTCAAATGTTATTTTTTTTTAATTCTCTATTGATTATTTAACTTAATTTAATTGTTCCAATGTGTTACCAACAAATTATAAGGCTGAAAAGGGTTAAAATATTATTTTTAAAGAAGGCTGAAAAGGGTTAAAATCTTATTTTTAAAGAAACGTCAAAATGTGTTAGATTACTTAACTTTAAGGGAAATTTCAAAATTTACAAAATTTCAAAATAAATGTTCATTAAAAAATTAGCTGATAAAGAAACCATTTAAAAAAAAATGGTTGTGGTTTTTAAATATTTTTAATCAACAGCGCATCGAAGAGCAAAATAGGTTTATAAAAATGTAGCTCTAAATTATGAGTCTGCCTTTGTGCGACAAACGGTTCATAAGTTATTAAAGAAAACCGTTGAGTGTTTTTTTTTAAGTTGGCGGGGCATAGCCTCGCGAGGGTGGTCGGATCAATCCGAAAACCAGAATACTTATTATTCAGGTTATGTTCTTTTAATGAAAAAAATTAAATAAAAATGTAATAATAAAAGAATTACCTAGTTTACTTTTTTAACCAAAAAACGTTACATTTGCTTAAATGCAGTATTTCAGTGAAAGAATGTAATATATATAATGTAATTTCTCAAAAATTCTCCATGGATGTCATTAATTTGTACTTTGTACTTATATAAGTATAAAAAATTCATTACATGCCGCGGCGATAAAAAATGAATTTTTGGCGATAAATTGAAAAGTAAAAGGTTTGAATGTAAAAGTTTATTAATTCTATAGGCCACAATAGTAGAAAAGACAAGTCAGTATCACAAATTAGTAAGTAAACAACAAAAACATTAAGGCCCAGTTGTATAACAGTTGGTTAACAGCTGATTAGCTGATTAACTCTTGAATTTAATTTAATTTAATGTTTAGCGGTGCTCCGTTACTGACAAAGTGTACTACACTTAGTTATTATCTAAGTGTGGTACACTTAGTCTGTCACGGAGCACCGCTATACATTAAATTAAATTAAATTTAAGAGTTAATCAGCTAATCAGCTGTTAACCAACTGTTATACAACTGGGCCTAAATGTTATTAAAAAATAAATAAATAATAATTGCTTTAAAATAAACCCCTTTAGAAAGTTGTACTTTTTTAAAAATGATATAAATTCGTCGATGTAGTAAAACGCATCTTCATTTAATTTTTTTTTTAATTTAAATTTAAACATATTAAGATTGAAAGTTTCTTATTTCCTTTGGAGGAAGATTAAAAATTCATGTTTACCTATGTCAAGAAAAAAGTTGTATTTTTAAATATCCAGTTGGGATGCCCCAGCGCCGCCTCCGGTCTAACTGAATTAAAGTTAATGACTAGTACACTTTCCGATTGAAATCTGTTTAAAAAATGTTGTGTTTTCAGCTGGTACAATTAGCAAAAGAAGGCAATCTGCAAGATATATGTAACAACGACAGGACCCTGGACGGGCTTCAGCTGCGGTTCGCCCTAGTGGGAGGCGTATTCGAGGCATTCCAACGCAATCACTCCGCCACAACCGATTGGGCCCTCTTGCTAGTACAATTAGTAACATACGGATTAATAGACCTTCACACGCACAACGAACTTTTCACGACGGTCATAGACATGTTGGCCACGTTGGTTCATTCTGCCTTGGCAACTGACAGTCAGGACGAAGGCAGGAAGATGTACCAGAATTTGATGAAGAAATTAAAAAAGGAGGTCGGGGAACGATCCAACGCTTCGATGTTGCACATAAAACAATTGCTGCCTCTGCCGAGAATTACCACTGAAGTTATAGCGGTAGAGTCGATAGGGGGCATTACTGACAGTAAGGGCAACAAGATAAGCTTTGACAATGTGGATAAGAAACACGAACTACAAGTGAGTTTAATTTTATTTATTTCATTGTACATTCATGTTAAATCAATCAACATTTGTTCCAATATTTCTATTCTTGTTTTTAAGTGTTTTTTGCATATTTTCTGGTTATTTAAAGAACAAAATAATTATACTAAATTTTTGAAAACATTTAAAAATTTTATTTATACAGGGTGTCCGGGAAAAGGAAGTCTATCCGTTAACCATATATTCTTTGAGTTAAAACAATAAGACTTTTATAATACAATTTTTCAATTTATAGCTTCATGTTCGATATACAGGGCAACAAGGTTTGAAATTTAAAACTGATTTTTTTTTAATAATTCGAGTAATTGATAAGATATTAAGTTCAAATTCGGTACACTACTTCAACATAAATAGTTACATTTTTTGAGACCAACCTAACAAAAAACAATTGTCAAATAATCAAAATAGGGGGGGTCCAGTACTCACTGACTCCCCCTATTTTTAGTACGTGCGCCAATGACTTCCAAACGGTATTTTTTCAGGTAATCATTTATTGTTAAAAAAAATTGTCTCTTATAAAATTTTTATAAAATGATTTGTTTTAGAGATAATTTGTAAAGTATGGGTCAGTCCATATCAAATCAACCAAAGGTTCTTCCCCCACCATCTCCGATTTTGATAATTTTTGGTAAATTTGTTTACCTCACTAAAAAACTCAAAAATCCCATATATGATTTTTTTTCGATGGGTGGTGTTTGTTTTATTGATTTTTGATAATCAAAAAATTCCGATAAATTTGGGTTTTGCAAGTACTTACAAAAATGGCGATATCTCGTAAACTATTAAAAGTAGAAAGGTGAGTGATGGCTTATTTTAAAGGCCTATTAGAGACCTTTTTTTTAATATACCACATGACCTAATTTTTTTCAAAAAAAAAATTAAATTTTAAAAATTTGATATGGATTGACCCATACTTTACAAATTATCTCTAAAACAAATCATTTTATCAAAATTTTATAAGAGACAAAAAATTTTCAACAATAAATGATTACCTGAAAAAATACCGTTTGGAAGTCATTGGCGCACGTACTAAAAAATAGGGGGAGTCAGTGAGTACTGGACCCCCCTATTTTGATTTGATTTGACAATTGTTTTTTGTTTTGTTGGTCTTAAAAAATGTAACTATTTATGTTGAAGTAGTGTACCGAATTTAATCTTAATATCTTATCAATTACTTGAATTATTAAAAAAAATCAGTTTTAAATTTCAAACTTTGTCGCCCTGTATATCGAACATGAAGCTCTAAATTGAAAAATGGTATTATGAAAGTCTTATTGTTTTAACTCAAAGAATATATGGTTGACGGATTGGCCTCCTTTTCCCGGACACCCTGTATATTATTTTTCTTTTAGGTAACTGACAAACAAAGAGTGATAACTTGGGATATCTTGGAAGGAATGAAAAATCCAGCTCCGCTATCTTGGTCTTGGTTTGGCGCCGTACGGCTGGAACGAAAACCGTTGGCTTGCGAAGATACTCACAGGTTATTAAAATTCCACACACACAACCTGCAGAAACCTGTTTCACACTATTTGGATCCTCCCCCACTACCTCCAGAGGACTTGGAACCAATTCCTGACAAACCTGTAAGTGACTTGTTTAAAATATGCTTTATGTTAGATTTTTGTGTACAAACTTGTTTTTGTTTGTTGGTTCTATGTATGTAATTTGAGGAAAGCTTGTGCAAAAACATACATTTCAAGAAATTATAACAATTTATTATTATTTTGGAGAAAACTCAATTTTTAATGTGATTTTGTTTCATGCAAAAGCAGGGACTAGGATTAAATCATCGAGTTCGAATGGCGATTTAAACCTATTTCGATCTACAAAATATTACTCTCTGGATGAGTTTAACTATGCCACTCATTTGGGGTTCATTTTTTTTTATCTGGACTGCGGCAACGTTGCAAATTTAGGGTTTGGTTGGTAAATAGTTGTCAAGTTGGTCGCATTGATTAAAACAAACTAAGCTAGTTATAAATCTAATTGTGGTTATGTATAAATTATTGTAGGTTACATTGTGCACTTGTCCAGTTGAGTTGTCGAAATTCGTAGTTAAAAATGCAATTAATTTGGCTTTGGTGGTGCTTGGATGAGTAAAATCATTTAAAAAAAAATAGTTAAATATAGGTTGCTTTACGGCCCAGAAGAGAAAGTATTCCTAGCGGATAATAATCTTCGCTTTGAAAAGAATTTATATAAAAGAAATTAAAATTTTTTGTGAACGCAAATGTTGTCCAATGGTGAATAATGTGAAAATAATGTGTGATGAAATATTTATAAAACCAAATTCGATACTTTTTCTTCCATTGTGGCATTTGGCATAATTTCATCAAAATGAAGTTTTGCACAGGGTTGTGAACCGTAACAAAATTTCGGTCCATGGACCGGTTCGCCAGCGGTTCAGTTCCAAAAAAGGTCCATGTAACCGGACCGTTTGTGGACCGTTTGTGTTGGACCGGTCCAGCAAAAATAGGTTCGACTGAACCGGTCCGTTTTGGAACATTGACAGTGTGGACCGCCAAAAACGGTCCGGTCCACGGTCCATGGACCGGTCCGAACGAACGAAAACGTATCCTCCCAAACGTTTTAAAGGGTGAATGTGGCACGTCAATTTTTATTTGTAAAGGGAGACATTTTATTGTAGGCCCCACCCGCACCCCTACGCGCTCTACCCCACCCGCCCCCAAAATCTTAAATTGCACGGGGGTTTAAGTGATATCGTTTTAAAGGTCTTTTAATTCTTAATAAGATACTGTAATTTTCTCATAAATCTGTTGGTCAGTTTTTTAAACTAGGTAAATTAAGAGAAAAACAAAAAAATTGTTTAATCAACTTTTCTGTGGGTCTCATGGAGCAAATGTGGATTAGGATTGCTCCAAATCTTATAAATGGTGATTCACTAGCTAAAGGTGATTTATTCAATAGCTGTATACTTGCGGCTTTGCTCGGATAACGTTTTTTCAGCAACTGTCATTTTGACAGCTCATTTCGGCACCTGTCATTTTGACAGTTTTTATTTGGGCTCCTGTCATTTTGATAGCTGTTATTTGGGCCCCTGTCATTTTATCACCAGTTATTTTTACAACTTATTTTGACAGCTGTCATTTGGGCACCTGTCATTTTATCATCACTAATTTTTATAGCTGTTATTTCCGCACTTCCGCCATTTTGACAGCCTTTATTTTGACACCTGTCATTTTGACAGTTGCCATTGTGAACAACGGAAGATGGAGAAAATCACTTTGAGCGTATTTCTCGTTGATTTACAATAATTGTAAAAAACCATTATTGTTTTTTCACTTAATTTACTTAATTTTTTCATGAAACGTACATTAAAATTTGTCCCCCTAGAAATAATGTTGGATTTATCATTCCACGTTGGATTTTTATATTTATTTTACCAATTACAAAAAAATTTCAGAAAATAATTAAAATTTTCGGAAAATCGCTTTCTCGTGAATAACTTATTATATTGATAGTATTTAGGTTTTTTTTAATAATTAATCATTAAACATTTCTATAGATTCTGAAGATTTGAGCTGTTAATTTTAACTATAGTAATTATTTTTCGAATTTTTCGAATTTTGACGATATTTGTTTTTTTAATTTGGTACCCACTGCGCCCACATAAAACCAACTGGTATCTAATGTGCATGGAAACCACCACCTGGTACCCACTACGCATAAAAACTATCACATGGTACCTTCTGCGCATAGACACAATAATCTCGTACCCACTGCGCATAGATCAAATCATTTGGTACAAAGTGCGCACACATAAAACCACCTGTTACCTACTGCGCATAAAAATAAACCACCTGGTACCAACTACGCATGGAAACCACCACCTGGTACCTACTGAGCATACATATAATCAGTGTTGCCAATCACAAAATATGAAATTACCCCCATCCAGTACTGAAAATCCTCACATTTTACCCGCCATAATTTGAAAATCCTCACAAAATCCTCCCAATTAAAAAATGTTAAATAATTTTTTCGAGTTTTGTAATAGGTATTAAATAATTGTGAAAGGGTTAGTTAAATTGTAGAAATAGGTACCGTCAACTGGGGCTACAATGATAATTGTGGGGCAACTTTGATTACACATGTCAGAACTTTTATTTTTTTGAATTTCTGCGCTAGAAAAAATTTTTTGGCGCGCTTTAACCCATCATGTGTTTTTCAGTTGTCACACGTTAACGAGGGTGTAAACATCGTGGTGAGTTTTGCCGCGGTTCTCATAATAAAGTTTACTTTTTGGTTTTTATATTTTATAAAGCTTCAGAAATTTCTAGTATACAGCATGATCAATAAAAGCGTATTTATTTCTTAATTTCTGGTTGTTTTTTTACGCAAATATGTTATTATTAAAGTAAATAATTAAAAAAAATTATTTTTTTAAATTTATATTATAATTGAACGGGGTTTCATTAGTTATAAGAGCAAAATTAAGGCATGATCAAAGTTGCCCCAAATGAAGTAAAACTTTGATCGGGGCCATCTTTTTTTTTTTTAATTTTTCTTAAAATATAGTGAATGCCAAATAAGGTTTTAGATTAATGAAAGTGATACCGCTACCGCTACCTTTACCTCTACCTTTACCGCTGCCTCTACCGTTACCTTTAAAACTATAAATCCGGCTTAATTCATACATTGTTTTCCTATAAGAAAAATTCTGGGTTGCATAAGAATATATCATTATTTTTACGTCTTTAATAAGTTTTTTCAAAAAGAAAAAATACGAAATCCTCACAAAATCCTCACATTTTACCTAACCCTCACAAAATCCCCACAAACGCATAAAATCCTCACAACGTGAGGAAATCCTCACACTTTGGCAACACTGGATATAATAATCTCGTACCCACTGCGCATAGATCAAATCATTTGGTACACAGTGCGCACACATAAAACCACCTGGTCAGTGTTGCCACCCCTATTACTTTAGTAATAGATCTGTTACTTTTAGCGAAAATATATTACCCTATTACGAAACGATGTAAATCTATTACTTTTTTCTTTCCTAGTAGGATTTTTTTTTAAATATTCTATTGTGGTCCTATTGTTGCCACTGGTAACTTGCCAGACAGCCCACAAAAGATTATTGTCGCAGCGCATCAAAACTATTGTAGAATTAAATTTTTCTTGGTTTTTCTAATATAAGTGTTTTAAATCTTGTTATATATTTTAAATTTATTATTTAAAAAAAAATAAAAAGTAAAGAGTTAATTAAAATAAACTTATTTTTTATCCAAAATTTAAGATTTTGTTAATTTTGGGTATTTTTATTCTCTTGTGCAATTTGATTTACATGAAATTATTGTACATTTTAATTTTATCTTACATGTGATTTCGTACATTGTATACGTACGTATAATTATTATCTTACAAAAAGGATAATTATTCTTTCTATGGAAAATTATCGTACGTTTGGCAACACTGCTTGAGTGTTTGACGTTTGTTATGTGCTTAAATTTATGTTTATAATGTTTTTATTAAAATAGCATAAGCATCATGCACAGATTATAAAGCATCATGTAAAAATTCAATTTTATTCTTATGACAACGGTAAAACGTCAAAGAATCAAAAAAATTTGATTCAAAATGGTCTATTACCAAAAATCCCAAATCTATTACATTTTGACGCATGCGTCTATTACGAAAAAAAAGTTATAGGTGGCAACACTGCACCTGGTGCTTACTGCGCATGGACCCAACCATCTGGTACCTACTGCGCATAAAAAACATCTGGTACACACTGCGCAATAATGCGAATACATAATGATTAATTAAAATTTAAATATGTATGTAATACTGTTTAATATGCACGGTCCCTGACAAAAAAACTGTCTTGGACGGCTATCAAAAAACCTGGCAACGTTGCTAAAAGCCATTTTGCCAAATTTTAGAATTTAAAGTGTCCTATTTAAGAAAGAACAATGTCACGGAGGACAACCCGACCTGGCGTGGACGCCATTTATATATACTTATACCAGCACGTAGTGTGTACCTATTACGAAATTATTATATGTATATTATTAAATGAAAATTGGGTTTAGAGCAGTTATCCCTTTGCGCGAGTTTAAAGTTTCACTTCAAAAATCAGCGAGGACCAACAAAAATAAACTTTATTTGGTGGAATGACCCATATAATATATAACAAAAATCTGACATCTGTTAGTTCCAATCTCACTTTTTCCAATTTAAAAACCGATTGGTTCAAATCACAGTAATAATAATAATGTCAATAATATGAAATAGGAGTGGAAATAATCTAATAATACAAATGTTTGGACCGGTTCAAAGTGTTTAAACCGGTCCAGTACCGCTCCAAAACACTTGAAAACGGTTCGGTCCAAAATTTGTACCGGTCCAAGTAATTTTAAAAACGGGACGGTCCATGGACCGGTCCAGAATTATAACTTGTTTATTTTGGGTACGGACCGGTCCGTAACAAACAAGCGGTTCTTGGACCGGTTCACAACCCTGGTTTTGCACTCAAAAGGACTTTTACATTCGAATTCGTTGCTATTATTTTTGGCATAATTATCTTTTTGTTTATAATTGACAAGTACATTATTAATAATAAATAGTATTGTCAATTTGACAGTGTCAAAGTATTTAATTAAATTCTTTAGCAGAGTCAAACTGGCATAAGCCACCAACCTAACAAAAAAACAAGAGTCCAGGTAAAAAAAATGAACTGTAGATACTTTAAGGATGTAATACAGCAGTAGCAAAACACATCTACTCTTTTGAAGATTTAAACGATTTATATCCTAAATGAAAACATAGTTTATGGGATGTAATTCTTTGATAGTAATTATATTACCATTCTCATTTAAGATTTAATACTTGATTAATCATCTAGTCTAATAATAAATTCAATAATATTAAAATATTAAATTAGTATAAACAAAAGGTGATGAACACAACTTATAGAAATTAACATTATTTTCCTAATAAAAAATAAACAGAAAGTTAATTGTATATTTATGAAGTTTAGGGCAGTTATGCAATTATAATTTTTTGTTCCAAATTAAATTATCTTTCAAAATATGTAACGAAATTACTCGCTCTTAGATCAATAAAAAAAGATTTTCACTCCTATTCCCTGTGCAAAAGTAATAACAATTTTTTATTACTTTGTTTTTGCATGAGGGCCTTTCCATCTCAAATTGACCATGCAAAAAGGGGTAGGTCGTTATTTTTTAACGATTTTTTTTTTACTCTTTACTTTTACTTTTAATCGATGAGACCCGTATTTTTTCTTTTTGCTTAAATTTGTTTTGTTTGACATTTTTTCTTAAAAATGCGATAACTTGGCAAAAACTGTTTCGATCGTTACAACATACAAAAAATATATAAAAAATTAAGTGCATTTCCTCAATTTTTTTTTTATTGTTTTTTTTTATATTTTCATTAAAAAAATAACGACAAATTTAGCCAACTCGGGACTTTTGGTGAAAGTTGTTCATAATATTAACTTCAAACAAAAAAAAATATGAAGTAAAAAAAAAGTGGTAATGGTCAAAATTTTGACCTCATTTTTTTTTGCTTTAGAAAAAACAATTTAAAAAAAATTGACTGAATTCACTAAATTTTTTATATTCTTTGTATGTAGTAAACATTTACCTACAATTAAAAAAAATTGTAACGTTTGAAACAGTTTTTGCCAAGTAATCGCATTTTTAAGAAAAAATGTCACTCGTAAAAAGGGAAAAATCGATGTTTCTGTCCATTTTTCAAAATTTTCCTACGGGTGAACAAAAAAATTTAAGCAAAAAGAAAAAATACGGGTCTCATCGATTTCGGTAGAGAAACTGTAAAAAATCGTTGAAAAATAACCACCCACCCCTTTTTGCCTGGTCAATTTGAGATGAGCCATGAGCATTCTTCATTTGTGACCGTCATGGGAAATCGGACCTTTACTTACTTGAGCCCCAATAAAGTTAAGGTATTTTTTTCTGACTGGTCACATTCGTTGTGAGTGTTAATCCTTGTCCTGCTTGAGGATGACCTTTACCACCAGTCCCTTTCTTGTTTGTCTTGTTGTTGTGTATACGTTAACCGTTCAGCTAAAGGAATCTGACCTGAAGGCCGACACGCCCTCCTCGGTGGACCAGAGCCCGGCGGGCACCGTGGGCAAAGGCAGAGGCAAGGGCCGCAAACCGCGCACCAAGAAAACGGCCCCCGGACAGCAGATGCACATGAACCCGATGATGGGACAGTCGCCGTTGGGACAGGCGCAACCCGGGATGCCGGGCATGCCGATGCAGGCGGGCGCGCCGGCGATGGGTCACGGCTTGGCCGGGGGCTACGGCCAGCAGCCCGCCGGCATGCAGCAGGGGCAGCAGTACGGCCCCGGCTCGGGGCATCAGCAGTGGTACAACCAGAATCAGCAGCAGCAGCAGCAGCCGTTCTATCCTCAGATGCCAGGTAAGAAAGAAAACTTTGATAATGCAAATTATCACCTAAAAGATAATATTAAGCACGTCTTTATAGTTGCGCGAGTGAATTATATAACTTATACTTATAATTGTTAGGGCCCCTAGAATCAAAACCGGCCATATCCATTTACGCGAAAACTAGTTTTAATTTGAAAAAGAAAAAACTGTTTTTACGTTTAAACAAAAATATATAATTAGAGATGGGAAAATTCCCATTTGACGAAAATTCGCGGAAACTTTCCATCAAAAATCCCAGAAACTTTCCGAAACTTAAAAAAAAAAAATTATTGCGGAAATGAGTTTTTTTGCCAGGAAGAATGCAAAAATAAATATTGTTGGCTACAGGCAAAATAAAATCAACATTTTTGAGTGAGCCTGACTCTATCGTTTGTAAAAATACAGGCTTTAGAGTTGCTACCCCACCCTGCTTAAAATACCCCATAGAGACCCTGTTCAAACCGATAGATATTTGTATCGGGATGAATGGTGTTTCTATAGGGTGTATCGGTTTGTATAGGACCCATAGTTGAGATTTATGGTTGTTCTATAGGGATATCCACCATTGATTTATTTGCTATCGGTTTCAATGGGGAAAATACACATAAATGTAGAAATTAGTTTTTTCCCTATAGGACCCCATAGGTTTTAATAAAATTTTGTCAAATGTTTTATGGTTGCTCTATAGGGATATCCCTATATATCCTTCATTGAGTTATTTTCTATCGGTCTCAATAGGGAAAATGTAAAAGTTATGGTGTGCCTATAGGTAATTTCCTATACATTTTCTATCGGGCTGTATCCGGAAAAAACTATGGACAAATGCACATATTGAATCCGGTAGCGCCCGATAGATTATTTTGTATAGGTCTCTATGGGGTATTTTAAGCAGGGCAGGTCTAGACTCGCGGCTATATCTCACACCTAATCTGACACTCTGCGGCATGAAATGCTGTGCAAATATTAATTATGAAATAAAGTAGAGTATGAATCATTAATAATTATTTATATAATTATTAATTATTTATATAATTATTAATTATTTATATAATTATTAATTATTTATATATTTCATTGTCACAATCCAGCCTGCCCTTAGATATATTATACCTCTATTGCTCAATGGGGCGGGGTCGGTTGGGTTGGGTTGTTAAGTTTGGGTTGGTTTGGTATGGCACAATGCAGTGTACCTGCATAATCAAGATGACAGTTAATCGTCATAACATTGAGGAATACTTTGCTACATTTAGCCTCTAGCGACAGGGATTAGGTGTGAGATATAGCCGCGAGTCAGGTCTAGGGTTGCTATTAGTTCCACCCCATTGAAATCTGTCCAACTATCTGAAAGAATTCTTTCAGATAGTTGGACAGATGTCAGTGGGGTGGCACTAAATTAATTTTCATTATTATCAGCCCCTTGTACTTTATCTTCATCTACTTTTTGGATTCTAGCATATTCAGAGTTAAGCAATGTTGTACCTAATTTCTTACCTCCCCCCAAGATAGAAGTCATAAGAAAAAAAATTACTACAAATATAATTTTTGAATGCAAGTTGCCCTCTATGAACAGTTTTTAAAGTGTGGCATTAAAGATTATGGGGTGTATTATCTTTGTGTGGCATAATAATAGCCCTATTTTATTATTATTACACCAGATGGTGGTAAGTTAGATAGTGAATTTAATTCGCAAAATCTTGTGCGCATCTCTGATGTACTAAAGTCTAGTTAAATATTGATAGGGTTTTGGATCGTTTTGCAAAAATGAAAAAAGACATTATAATTTTATAATTTGAATTTTATATTTAAAAAGATTACCTAGGTACTTAAAAAAGAATATATGTTTATGAGATATTTAGTAGCTTTGGTACCTTATAATCCTATTCCCCAATATACAAAAGCAAATAAACAATAAGGAGTTTTGCAAAATTATTTTCCTTATACAGGGTGTCCCAGAACTCGCGCCACAGAGAAAAAGGGGGCGTGCCGATAGCAATGGAGATGCCAAATTTAAAAATAAAAAATTTCTAGGTAATAGTGTAATCGAATTAGAGCAAAAAAGCGGCAGCCAATACGGAGAGCTCTCGCCTAGGTTAAACGTAAGAGCTTTAAAAATTGCTAGGAGACGATAGAACATTGTTGTATTGAAAACATTTAAAAATCTTTTGGCCAACTGTATTTACTAAGTTGTCAAAAGCTTTCAAAAATGAGGTTATTAATCTATGACTTATACTTCAGAACGCCAATGTTTTAAAATAACGATTAGGGCTGGGAAAAAACTTGCGTTGCGCCCACACTAAATAAATAAATAATTATCATTTCAGTATAGGTAATCATCTAAGGAAAACATTATTTATAATAACTTAATTTATAACCTAATATAATATTAATGACAGGAGTTTGACAGCAGTGTCACAATGAATTGGATTCCAGTGGACCAAATATTTTACATATTTTTTATTATCAACAATGCAACCTAAGTATCCTAGCAATTTAAAGAATTCCCTATGGCCATCTATTGGGATTGGCTATCGTTTTTTATTCTTATCTCCTTATCCTTTGCGTTAGACAAATTTAATTTTCAAATATGTGTTTCACGTTACTTTCGGCACGTTCCGGTATTCTATGTGGCGCGAGTTCTGGGACACCCTGTATATTAGTAATATAATATTACCCCTCCCCCAAAAGAAAAAAAATAGAGATGGGAAAATTCCCATTTGACGAAAATTCCCGGAAACTTTCCATCGAAAATTCCCGAAATTTTCCGAAAGTTTCAAAAAAAAATTTTTTATTGCGAAAATATTTTTTTTTATGCCAGGGTTTTTTGTGATGAAGCTGAATAATCCGGCTTCATTGAGGTTATGTAACATAACTTACATTATTTATACTTCTTCTTCTGCCTTAAATTAACACACATTAAATTCTTATTCAAAGTTTCTTGGCCTTGTATCATGGCCTTAACGAAAATCAGCGGTTAAACAATTGACATTTAAATGAAAATTACAAGGAAAGTTTCCAAGGAATGTTTCCAAGGAATGTTTCCGGTAGCTTAAAAGAAACTTTCAAAATGAAAATAAATTCCCAATTGGAAACTTTCCAAAACGGAAAGTTTCCTTAAAATGGAAACTTTCCGATTCCCATCTCTAGAAAAAAATATCGACGCACTTGATTCAAAATGTATTGTAAGTGTATTCCAAACAGTGTTGCCAGAAATGCAGAATTTTCTTCAATATGCAGAATTTTAGCCTACATCGAGAGCTAATGAAGAAAAGAAGAATATTTTACAAAAACCACTACAATATGAAGAATTTTTTAAATTCACATGTTTTTTTTTTCATTTTTAATTTTTTTTCAATTTTCTGGATTATTTAATTCTTTAACTCGATTTTAACACTGTAATATGATTTAAAATTTAAATTTAAAATTTAATTATTTTATTCATTTCGTATGCATTCTGATCTCTCGGTAAAATGGTATAATACTCGAATTGCATCACTGGTGCTACACTGGGGAAGCCCCGAATTTTAATAGATATAATTGGTATATTTATTTTATTTATAATTTATAAATCATAACTCTATAAAATATAATATACCTACTATATTATAAATTATAATATGCACATGTCCATTGTGTATTAGAGATTTATTTAAAAATGAGTTCAAGTGAAGAAATTCTCAAGGGTAAATATTACAATTTTAAATATGTATGCATATTTATTAATTAAATGAGTGCCAAGTCACAGCAAATAATAATTAAGTATTTTGTATCTTATTTTAAGATTTTCCAAAATCCTCAAACAGGGTGGCTCTGTGAAGTGCCAAGTGAAGAGACAAAATTTGAATGTCGATGGTGTAATGCAATACTTTATAAGGGTGTTTTCAATAATGAATGATGTGAAAACAAAAAAACGAAACAGACTTCATGAAAATACATTGAATTCATAGATTAATTTCCTTTGCGTATTGCGTTTTTAAAGATACAGGTACAAATTCTGCAAAAATGTCACAAAAAACATTTAGATTTAATGAAATTAAATAATTTATTTAATTCCTAAATCATGGTGTATAGTTTTTTGTTCTGCCTATAAAATTAATTCATTTTCTTTAATTTGTAAAACTTTATCTCCTGTTTACCATAAAAGATATTTGACTTTTAAAAATATTTTTTTTATTATTATTAAGTACCTAATCCAGTCAGAAGGTTTTTTATCTAATGACGTTTTACATCTCTGCAGAAATATGAAGAATTTTTAAGGTTAAATTGAAGAAAATTGGTATAAAGAATCTGGCAACACTGATTCCAAACCAATATTTTATTAGTGCGATATATTTATAGTTTCTTACTCCCTATAATAGTGTTCTTGGTTTCTTAGCAATCTTGACATTTAAAATTATAAATTAATTTATTAAAATTAAACGTCAAGTCTGTTTATAATTTTTAATCTAAATGTAAGTGTTGAGGAAATTAAGTTAGTTTGCAAGTAGAAAACTAATTAACTTATTTTTTTTAGTAAACCGTTTAGAACGTCCACAAATAAATCAATCAAAACAGGCCCTGTCTGCTATGCTAAGACAGAGACACCCACCGCACCATCAGTTTATGCCTGGTATGCAAAATACCCCAGCTGCTCCGCAACAGCCTACTAACTACGGTCAAATTCAACGAGGATTCCCGAGACAAGCAATCAGACAGCCGCACCCCAACATGCAAAACCAGGTAAAAAAAAGAAGTTGCTTATTATATTTCCCGACATGATTTAATTGTTCCCTTTTTATAGGGAATGTTCCAGAACTACGGTATGTCCCAGCAGAGCGGCATGAGCCAGCAAGGCGCGATGCCGCAGCAGTACAACAATTACGCCGGAAATCCGCAGCAAATGATGCAAAACAACATGGCGAACAACCAACAGATGATGCAACCGAATCAAAGCAGCATGTTTGCCGCGCAGCAGCAAGGTTTCGCGCAGTCGCGGCCTGCGCAGGGCGACTACAGGCAAATGAGCCAAAACCCCAGAGCGCCCTACATGCAGCAAGCCCCAAATGTCACCATGAACACCAACATGCACCAGATGGGCGGCATGGCAGGTCAAGGGGGGCCTGCACCGCCCTACTCGAGAACCGGTGCCCAAGGTATGCAACCCGGCGTGCAGAACCAGCAGTTCCAGCAGCAACAGCAGAGAATTAGACAGCAGATGATGGCGATGCAGCAACAAGGAGGACCGCAGGGATCTCAACCTTCGCCTGCTTTGGTGGCGCACTTGCAAAGGCAACAAATGAATCCTAATCCATATAATCAACCGCCCCCATATGGTGGTATGCCCTAAGTATTACGTTTCGCTTCTTTAACCAGTGATATGTAACTTCCTATCTATTATAATGTAACAGGTCTTAAATAGGATTTTGAGGTGCGGTACATACATATATGTATGTACCTCACCTTAAAATGCCTATTTATGTATGACTTGTTTTACAAAGTATTTTTTATTTTTTCTTTATTAAAGAATATTCTTCAACAAGACTTTTATTTATTGACTGTACCATTTTAACAAATCTAAAATTTAAAGGTTTAAATCCTTTTAAGAAGGATAAAGAAAACAATTAATTGTTTAATTAAATTTTAAACCCTTATAGTAACTTGTTTTTTAAGTTACCTATACTTCTTCAAAATTTTACTCAAACGCGCCAAAAGAAGTTCTTTTGGCGCGTTCAAGAGTAGCAAAGGTAAGTGAAAATTTTTAAAACTGAAATTTTTCATACTCAAACTCAAATTAAAAATGAACAATAATAACTATTTACAAAAAATTATTATGTCAAGTTATCCATGAAAAAAAATTAAACTAATAGTACAATGGTACAAAATTTAATATTCTTATGCTTAGTTTTAACAACTAAAAACCCAATAGACTTAAAACAACAATGAAACAAAAAATTCTCTACTAGATTTTCGTCACATTCTACTGCACAAGAACTAGGGCCAACCTGCGCAATCATTACTCCAGAACAAATATTAAAGTGTATTAAAAAATTGTGGATTAGTAGAGCTGACAAAAATCTAATTGTAGAGAAATTTAAAAAAATTGTAATTCTTTTTTTTGTTTCATAGTTTTAAGCTTATATTGCGTTTTTATTTGTTAAAACTAAGCATAAGAATATTTATGCCATGCTAGTTTAATTTTATTTCAATGTTTTTTTCATTGATAACAGAATACATTTTTAGTAAATACTAGGTATAGTAATTATTGTGCATTTTTAATTTAGCTACAAAATCGTTCGTCTAAAAATTTTCAATAAAATTTAGTATAAGGTCTGTTTGGTGGTGAATCCAGTGCCAACAAAAAAAAATCGCTGATATAACTTTTTAAAAATGTACCAACAAAAACTGACATAAAAGGCCTTGTATTTTGTAAAAATTGGTGTTTTTTGCTCCAAAAATACAGTTAATCAAGATCTACACTTTAAAACAAAATTGCACAATAAATAGATTTTACAGGGGGTGAGTCTCAAACAAATGGGTCACAACCTTTGTTTTAAACAATCTCAAAATTTAAATTTCCTTCTTATTGAAAAACTACTTAGGGCATTCTGCTGTTAAGCAATCATTATGTCTAATATATAAAAACTAGGGTGGGAGATATATCATATATGACCTCTATTGTTTTAAATAAAACACAAAATCCTTATGAAAAATGCATTAAAAAGTATTTTGTTTAAAAAAATAAATAATGAAACAAAAACAATTAAATATTGTGTGCTTTAATAATAGCACATCCCAGATCCAGTAGTTGAATGTATTCAGAACCTCCATCCAGAAGTCTAAATGCAACAGTCTAAAAATAACAAATTAACAAACAATAACTTAACATATTAATTTTTCTAGGTACCCCTAATTTTTCCCCAATAATTGCTTTTTGTTTATCAGTATAATCATCAGAGTTTACCACCATTTCATTTAATTGCTCCAATATCTTAAATAGTAAAATTATTTTATCTTACATTTGTACTTCTATTTTTATGTGTACCTGTGAACCTGCATAAGCCTCCAACATCATTTCTTTGATATAATTCTGCAAACTTTGCAAGTTTCTTGTTTTGCAAACCTCCAAGTATCCTATTAAAAGTTTATCGGGGACCACCCCTGTAACTTCAATAATATTATCAATACTAATTGGCACACCTTTTCCCTTCAACTTGGCACAACTCTGCAAGCAAGTTATAGCTCTTCTCATGTCTCCACCACTAGTTTCAACAAGCTTGTTTAGGGTTACATCTTCACAGATCACATTTTCTTCTTTACATATGTAAGTTAATCTAAATTGAGAAAATTTGTTAAATTTGGAATTTAACAAAAAATCATAAAGTTTACCTTTCAAAAATCATACATTCATTTAATGGTTTAAAACGAAATTTAGTACATCTTGAAGTTAATGGTGGTATAATTCTTGAAACATAGTTACAAATTAAACAAAATCTTGTAGATTTAGTTTCTTTTTCCATTGTCCTACGCAGGGCTGCTTGAGCTGCATAAGTCATGGAATCAGCCTCATCAAGTATCACAATTTTAAAGGATGGACATGGTTTTCCACTAAAATAAATGTATAAATATTAAAGTAAATTCCATATATTGCCAGAACTAGATTAGTATTTTAAAATTATAAAAATGTATTAATTTGGTTTTGGTTTGTACTAAACAACCATTAATATCTTACTCTTCTCGAACACTGCTGGCAGTTAGCTGTGAGAATGTCTTAACTTTTTCCCTAATAACTTGAATTCCTCTTTCATCTGAGGCATTTAACTCCAATATTCTTTGACGATATAGATCTCCAAAAAGTTGTTTGGCTGCTGCTATGATAGTACTAGTTTTTCCGGTACCTGGAGGGCCATAGAACAATAAATTTGGTAAATCTGCGCCTTTGATGCATTCGCCAAGAACTGTCACGGCTTCATTTTGCTCTACAACGTCTTCGATTGTTTTTGGACGACTAAAATTTAAAAATTGTAATTTATATATTTAGTAAATATCAAAAAAACGTACTATTTTTCGACCCATGGGACTAATTTAGGTTTCTTAACAGCCTTAGAGCCGCCACTGGATTTGGTGGATGAGGATGCATCTCCCAGTTTTCCCGATTTCAAAAAGAAATCCATACTTGCGATAACCTAAAATCCGGAAAAACAATCAACCAAAAAAAGCGCCAAACGATTTATTTGATTTGACAGATAAATCAATCGCGCAATATTAGTGCGCATCAGGATCTACCTCTTTCAAGTGGACCATAAACAAGTTATTAAATCGTAGAAATTGTGGAGTTGTTATTAAACGAGCTGGACGACTGGGTTATTATGAAAATGATGAAGAGCAATACCAACCTACGGTTAATTTATGCAGATCTGTCATTTCTGGTGTAAAATTTAACCGGGCGTCTGTGATGGCTGTCTGCTCGTACAAATATTAAAATTAATATTTTTCACGTTTATTTTGAATTATCGCGACCAAAATGCCTCGTGTGAAAGCAGCGCCGAAAAAATGCATTAAATCCAACTTGCAAAATCCCGCAAATTCCTGGGTGTTTGTTATAAAAGGTATGAAAATCGAATCAGCCTATTTGGTTTTGTTTTCTTTGTGCGTGCATTTTTCTTTTATTTTTATTTTTTATTGATGAAATGATACATTACTGATTTCCGAGGCCATTTTTCTAATTGGAATAGTTTATTAACCAGGTTTTTCCATTCAAATTTTTATTGATAAATGCTTTTTAAGTTTTTGTTTACAATTTGTTTTGTTATTTGGGGAAGCTTTTGAGCTTTCTTAGCAATATACAAGGAATGGAACTCCTGATATTATATCTCTGAGACACCCAGACACTAGTGAACCTGCCTTATTTTTATTTTATTTTAAGATAATAATTGTGGAGAAATTTTGTCATTCATAAAAAAACCGATGAAATCTATTTAAAATTTATAACAGATAATTTTCAATAATAGAAGAAACTTATACAAACATTTATTAAAAATGTTTAAATGTCATTAATTTAAAGAGGTGAGCATTAAAAATAAGGTAGTGTCTACCTGGGAGACTAAACATTGCTCAAAAATATTTCCTAATAGAGATACAGGCTGTCAAAAAAACCTAACAAGGAAACAAAATAAACAAGGCATCTAGCAGCTATTTGAAGTTAACATGCATGGAGCATACACAAGGAGTCCGAACTTCATGTAGGTATACAAATAGCTTCCTAAAATAAGACACAATAGAAATCAGCGCCGCTGGTGGTAAAAACAAAACTTCATTTGTGAAATTTAGTGGGTTGGTTTTGTCAATTTCCCTATTAAGTTTGGACTCCTTGTGTAGGCCCCATGTTAGCAAGGTTGACAGATCATCGATGTATTTTTTGATATGAGACTACTTGGATTTTAAAATTTGCCACAGTATTTTGTATTGTTTTCAAACTTTAAACTTAAATATTTCATAATATATTATAGAAGCCCTAAATCAAAATTTGTCATGGGCAGTTTTTTTTCTTTGAATAGAACAGATAAACTTAAAATGTAGTTATTATTTTAAAATTTTCTGAAGTGAAAAGGGAAGCAGTAACTGTTTTTTAAATAATTATCCACATCATTCCCAGGTAGCACACTGACGTCTGCTAACGTTAAAATGACGTTAGAATCGTCACTAAAACGTCAGCAGACGTCAGTGTGCTTACCTGGATTACTAAGACCTTAAATACATTAAATTATGTGCCAAATCTGTTAAAGTTATGATGTGATAACTAGGAAACATTTTGAAGCAATATTTTTTTATAAAAGTACCTTATTTTTGATGATCTATCCCCGCTTAAAATTAATGACGTTTAAAAGGACAAAAATAATTAACTATAAACTATAATAATTATTGTACACATAAATCTACTATGCATGTCCCATTATTAACAGAACACACTATATAAAGGGTGGGACCGAGTTTATATCCATCTATGTTTATATCATTATAGCTGATAGTTTATTAAAAAATTATGGTAGATTCCTTGGTCTTTTTTGTCTCTTTAGTGTTTTTTTCATATCTTGCTTTGTTAAAAAGTTAATAACAACTTAAATTTAAATTTATAACATTGTACTTATAAATGATTCTTAAAAATCAAGATAAAATGGTGTATGCCATTCTGCCAAGAAGTGTCTTTTGAGCTTTGCTATGATTTGGCCTTCAAACTCAAAACAAAAAACTCACATATCACATATGACTCATTTGATACCCTGTACGGTACCACATAGGTTTACAACTACTCAAAGGAAAAAACTGATGGCAAAGATATAAAATGTTTATATAAGTTTATTTACATTTTCTTTTTTTGTTTAGGGGAAGCTTTGGAGCTTTCTGACCAATATACGGGGACTGGAACTCCTGATATTGTCACCCTGAGACATCCAAACACTGGAGAATCTGCTGTATTTCTATTTTCTGCAGCTAATAATTCAGTACAGGAAATTTTATCATTCAGTGATGGAAAAAGAGGATGGTTTGTTGATGAGTCTGTGAAAAATGATGGAAAAATGAATCTATCATCTCCTATTGATCCAATATTTTTAGGTAAACATTGTTATTATTATATTTATTTTTTTATTAATAATTAATCAATTTCTTGTAGTTCTTCCTTATTTAAGAAAATACTGTAGCAACCAAGTCATTCCATTGGATCAATTATTAAGAGATGAAGAATTTCCTGAAACTGAGAGGTTGCTGAAATCCAGTGGCCTAAAATACTTAAATATGATTGCAGATAGAAAGGTAACATAATTAATTTGAATAAAACAGTATTTACTTAGATTTAACAATATTTTTATTCTAAAGTAAAATAAAAAGATGAGGAATTTAATGTAAAACAAGATATCATTATAGAAATTTTGACGGAGATATTTCTGAAGTTCAGGGTTATTATCAGTAAATTATTGATGTAAAAATTGTCTTTTAAGAAATCCCATAGGAAGAAGTCAAAATTACATTAACTGAGCAGCCAGTTAACTCATTAATTAATATTTCCTCTTGGTAAAATTATTCGGTACTAAAATCGTTTCCGCAAAAGATTAACTGTATGTGAATTGATTATAAAAGTGGTCTTATACGGTATATATTTCACAACGTTTTGATTGATAAGTATCTTCAATTGTCTTAAGGTAAGAAAACTATGAGACTATAGTCACCCTATCAAATCAACTGGAACATCACAGGCATATAAATATATTTGTGCACTCAAGTTAAGGTTGTTCATTCGTGTGATATTGATAAGTTTTTTTCTATGTACGCGACTTCATAATCTTTTTTTGTAGGTACCTTCCTAATAACTCTGGCTTTTTGCAAATTTATATTGTGTTGTTCTTTCCATTCGGCGATCCCCGATACGTATGGTGTACATTTGGACATATTAAATCTATCAAATAAATTATCATCACGTACATACGTATGGTGTACATTTGGACATATTAAATCTATCAAATAAATTATCATCAACTCTTTTTCTTTTGAGAAAAATTGCATACTTAGCAAATCAGTGCTAGGTTTTAAAATTTCCGGAAAAATTGAACCGGCGGACAAAAAACGTTTTTCTCGATTTTTATGTAAGAATGTCATATTCTCGCACGCAAAATCGTTGAAGAATGAAGCTCATTCTTAAACGATTTTTGGTAACATTTAGTTTTTAAGTATTGGTACCCCCAAAATGTCAAACTGATTAATAACCTCAAATTCATTACTTTTATTGAAAATGAAGCCTTTATTATTGTTTTGTAATATAAAGTTTGCTCCAACAATGCATTTTAATGCAAAATTTTAAGTTTAATGTGTAAAAGTGCAGTTCAGGTTGTACTTGTGCAGGATAACAAATATTGTCATTTTGTGTTGCCAACTGACATTTTGCGAGAAAAATCCCCTAACTAACAACGACCACAAAACAATTAAAAAAACCTAAATAAAAGTTAAAATCGAGAAAATAGTATAAATCACACGTTGCAGAAGGCTATTCTCGCACTCATTCGTTCGTCCACTCGCTCCTTCGTCGCTCGAGGCCAAATTTCGAATTCGTGCGAGAATATGTGGCCTTCTGCAACTTGTACTTTAATATACTATTTCCGAGAAAAAAAAACGAAAAAACTGGGAAATTTTTAGAAAAATTGACTTTTGCATTTTTTTTCCATTTTATTCAATAATACGAATACGAAAAAAATGCAAGTCAATTTTTCTGCAAAATTGCAAATTAGTGAATTTCCAAATCTGATTATAAATTATAATTTATAATTATATAATGCAAGATGATAATAATTATTCCTATTATTATAATTCAGTAAGAATATTCTACTTGGTCAACAAATTCGATGTATTCGTTTTATTTGACACATCGATTTATAAAATTATAATTTTGTAATTTAACTTTATAAATCATTCATTATTTTGTAAATGGATATTATCAATTATTAAAAAGGACCCAACCGACAGTATAAATCGGTGAGATTAAAACAGTACAAGTCCTACCTTTTTATTTTCACAATTCATTTTCTAAAATCAATTTAAAACCTCAAAATGCCCGAATTTTTCCGTTTTTTTTTTCGACACTTTAAAATCCTAATCAGTGCCTAATTTATACAAAAACTCATTAGTAAATGCCAGACATGACTGTGGCACCAAAATGGTTTTTCATTACAAACCTCAATTTTACTTAAGAATAAAAATTCCTTATTATCTTAATCTTAAAACTTGTAGTTTTTTGGTGTGATGAATTAATTTGATTTATGTATATTTATTATAACTATTTAGGGAGATGAAGAATTAAACGCCTTTAAATACAATGAGGACAAAACTTTATCATGGCTTAAAAAGAAAACAGAAAAACTGGCAGACATCCTGAAAGCCAAAAATATCCAAGTGACAGGAGGGGGAGCAGTTTCAGCCAGTTTTGTGAAAACCGGAAGCCCGGACAACGATTCCTACCTAAAATATGCACATGGTATTGTTTCTGAATATCTCATGGATGACCTTAGCCAAAAATTACTGAAATACTTGAATTTACCTGAGGATGTTCCTCAGAGTACATTAAAAAGAAAAAGTACACAACAAACACCCCAGCAAGAATCTAAAAAACCAAGGAATGAAGAAGAAAACAAAAGTGGCTCATCGAATGTTTTGGATCTGAGTAAACCTGATCCTAAAATGCCAAAAACTCAAGTTTTAAATGCAAAAGATAAAGCTAGAAACAAAGCAGCAAGTGGTTGTAAGCCTATAAGTTCATTTTTCAAGAAAACTTAATTTATTCCCTTCTTATTTTTACTGTGAAATATCTAGGTCAATTTTTATCATTTTCAACTGCTTTAGAAAAGTTGAATGTTTTTATTTATGAGTCAATACAGGTGAGGTTGTCCTAAATGTATATTTTTCAAAAAATATTCTTTTATTTTTAAAGTTTATTAATAGTAAGGCTTTGTGTGGATAATACTTAGGAAAACATATACTAATGGCCTTTTAATCTAATATCAAAAACAATGTTCTGTAATATGGTCTTATGAAAAGGCTGCCTAAAACATAAATTTATTTATTATTTTTTTTGTTACATCTATTTTTTGCTTGGGGCATTATATTTTGGTCTTTAAATTTTAAATAATTAGTACCTACTAAAATGTTCAATAGGCAAAATAATGTTTTTATTTAAATTGATTATTTTTTTAATTTGCTAAGCAAATTAAATGTCTCAAGTACTTTTCCTGTTTGTAAGAAAATACTCCAAGAAATTTGTTCCTATTAAGGTCAAAACTGACTGACTCTGGTAGAAGAGGTTTTAGTAAATGTTGAGTGTATCAAGTAAAACTAAAGCAATGTTTTCTTCAATAGAATAGAAAGGCAATACATTAAATATAATGTTTTAAAGTAGATATCATGTAAAACTTTTATTTTTTTATTATGTATTTTCACTTTATATTGTGACTTAGATTATAGGATTTTTATTGTTACAATTTTTCGTCGTTACGTGTATGTGATTAATGTATTCAAATATACACTAAAAACGAATCAACATGTTTTTGTTATGAGTAGTAAAACGATTTTGTAATGATAAATCATTTAATGAAGGTATAACAGGATATACTAATAAAATTACAAAAAAATTACATACATAATAATCAGTTCAAAAGAATAAGAATATCTAATATACTTTAAAAATAGGTTTGTGTGTATGTAAATTCACTTTTTATTAAAAGATGTCAACTTTAAGTTACAACTAGATAGCTCAAACACTAAAACAAAGTGGGAAAATAGTACCTATTTACACATCTTTTTTCATGTGATAAATATTAAATAGTGGCACTAATCCTTATTCATCCAAACAATTATTTTCAATAAAAAGTAAGCAACGCCAAATCCAACAAGAAACTTTTCTTTTTGCAGCCGATTTAAACCATCAAGCTCTAATGCCATCACTCTCCTATTCAACTTGGCCATCTGTCTACGTAAATGTATAACTTCTTCAGCTGGAGTCAATCCCTCTCCACCACCTCCAATTGGAGGAGTTGATTCCCGAAAACTCGAATCATTGAGGTTAAATTTCGTTTTTGGTTTAATGACAGGAATTCTGTCTCCTTCGTTTTCCTCATTGTCATCATAATTTTCTATCAAGGGAAATGGATATTTATCTAATGTAAGGGTTCTTGGAGGGGTTGCAACTCTTGGTAAATCCATGGGGTAAGGATCTGAGGGAAGAAGTGAATTATCATATGCTATTTCAATTGGGGCAGCCCTTGTACCTATAACAATGATACATACTCAAATTAATAAAGGTTTTAGCTTAGTTTTTGTAGTGTAGTAAATGAGTTATTAGGCATTTGTTTCTGTAATGTAAACCTATACCTATTACTTACCGACATGTTGGTGTTGTCCTGCTACCAATATTCTTTCTGGGACTTGCATGTTAATATCATCCCTTGTCCAGGAATTATGATTGATCCCGTTCATGTTTTGGTTAAAACTAATTTTGTCAGGGACTTTCATTTTTTGGTTTATTTCTACCTTGAAATTTGCGTCGTGAACAAATGCATCTTCAGTGTAATGCGATGGACTAGTATTTGCAGACATTGTTCTAAAAAAAATTCGTTAGTTTGAACATGATTATACAAATTTTCTATCTAGTAATTTTTGTGTTCAATGCCAAAAAATAAATAGACAATTCAACAATAATTATTAACCAAGTTTATATTTTCCTTTTATTAATATCTATTTACTTACCTCTTTGCTTTTTTTAATTACACAAACGTCAAAGTTTTAAGAACTAGACATTTTGAACTGACGTTTTGTTGCCAACTTAGTAATAAAAAGTAACCAGTTTTATACCGCAACCCAGAATACACAGAAATTAATTTGAATTGCCTACGTTTAGAACCAAATAAAAAAGTTATTCTAATGAAGATAAAAAACTTCAAAGGGTGGATTTATTGGAAATATTAAGCATAAATTATGCTGCATAATATATATTTATCAGATAAATTTTATCTTTTAAAAAATACTAAATAAAGTAACAAAGTAGATAGAGTTAACATGTCTCGTATTTTTTGTAGCGAATTAGGAAAATAAAGAATGCAAATCTGCCGTGATTAATAGTGTCTTCTGCACCCTATATTGGTGCTGTTATTCCCCAGCGTTTATCGTATCGGGCTATAATCTCGTAAACTTGTTATGTAACGAAAAGGAATAACATTATTAAAGCAACTTTCAATCAAAGTCGGATTAAGTAAACTGCTTGTAATTGTGATTTGTGGCCCGATTTACATAATTTATATATAGCAAGTAAAATACTTGTAACACTAGTGCCCACAAACTGGTTATTACTAAGGTAAGTATATTTTATATCCATGGATTGGTGCTAAAGTGGCGGACACGGAATTTTGAACAACTATCATCCCGTTGACATCAAAATCCCCTTCGGGGTTTTTTATGATCAAAATCTAAACTTTCTTTATGGACAACTAACCTTACTTACGGTTCATAGATATCTATGATCCGGTTAGCCCTAGTCTTGTCATTTTGACAGCGAAAGAAAAAATGGTCAATATTGTATCCATGGAGCCTCCATGATTGTATCCATGCTATTTTCAGATTTATATATGGAGCCAATAAGGTGCACCCCAAAAGAACCCTAAAGTTTTGAATAGTTTAAAATGTGTAGGCTTCATGGTTTGAAACATGGAGGCTCCATGGTTTAAAACATAAAGCTTTCATGCTAGAACACTTTATAATAGATTGTTCTTGCCTAGGTATCAGGGGCGTAGCTACCGCGGTATCACCCGTATCAATGGTACGGGGCACCCGGCAAGGGGGGGGCCCGATTGGCTTTGACATGCTTAAGCAAAAAATATATTACCCACATGTTAAATAAATTGAGGGATGAAATTAAATAAATAAATAAATAATATTTTTATTTAATTGTTTATACCTACTTCGATTTATTAAATTAAATTTTTTCTGCATACCCTTCTGTTCCAACAAGGCCGTGAACTCATACGAATTGTTTCTGCCCAAACCTTTCCGCTATGCGTTGTCTGCGGCGCAGTCTGCGCATATTGTTTTGTGCTCTGCGCCGCATATTGAGTATGCTTTGCGTGTTATTATCATAGGTTATATTAATAGCAAATTAGAAATAATTATTAACGTTACAATTATTTCAAATGACTTGCCTTTATTTTAAAATAGAAACCTTTTAAAAGATTTTGAAGAACGGTAAATACCTAAAACCAGACCAAATTTTAAAATTTGCCTGTACATAAAAAGCTATGTATACATATATTATTTATTAAATTATAAAATATTGGTAAATGCAAAAAAATGATATCCCAAAATTGTTTTTGTTTCCCCAAAATAGACTTTTGGGCGTGACACCCAGACATTTTTTTGCCAGCAGCTTTTCCCGTATAAGGGCCCCTACTATATTTTTGATACCGGGCCCCCTTGAGGCTAGCTACACTACTGCTAGGTTACCTAGCCTAGGTATATGGTTTAAAAATTCGAAATTTCAAATTGAAATGTCAAATTAATAGTTGACTGTCGTAGAGACCCTTGGATGAAGGGTCAAAGTTTAACGGTAAAACAGTTGAACACTACTTATATAGTGTTCAACGGTGTTTTATATAAAACCATATGGTATCAGGGAAAAGAGGACGCGTAATCGTTCTGTTAAAAAGTGGACAAAACTTAAACAAAAAAGATGTAAGTTAATAATATAATATAAATAAGATCATTCCGAATAAAAGACCACATATTTGTTTATTTAGGAACTGGATTAACAGACACTGATTAAAATACATAGATTTATTACTTTAAAAGCGAATTTGGAGTTGTTGGAGTTAACCTGGTTAACATAATTATAATTATGTTAACCAAAGGTAGATACAGCTGTGTTATACCCAAATTTATAGCCTTTATCTGTGAAAAGTTATTTCAGACTTTTTATTCACGTCATTATAACTTCTACAAACCAACGCAGAACAAACCACCATTGTATTTGAACAAAAACAGCCCATAACAAACTTGTCACTTTGAGGTTATAATAATGACATTTCGGTTGTTATTCAATACTTTACTTAAATACACAAGTGTAAACGTTACGCGGTCACTCTTTTAACATGTCCATGGGAAAAAGTTTATAAAAACAGTTATTTAATCGATTAATGTGTTTATGCTAGAGCTACTTTGCCGCTTTAAGCTCAAACTTGTGTAAATTGCAAAACAACTTAGAGAAAAGCACTCCGGTGACTCCCAAGGGCGTAGCGCTGCGGGGCGTCGCTGTATTACAGGCAAATGTCCAGCATTCAATTTACTTATAAGTGAATTGTCATTTGTTTTTATCGACTTCAATATAAACAACTGCCAATAAAAAATAAATAAAAAAGTCTAAACCTGAAAAATGCATACAGCTTTAAAAGTGAAACGATGTAATAAATACCAGTTTGTATAATGGGGGCTCGTAAATTTCATTAAAAGCAAATTTCTTTGTAGTTGCCCACCCCCAAATGAATATTTTTTTCGTGCGTTAAGAGAAAATGATGGGTAAGAAATCTATTCTTATTAACCCATGGTCTAATTACTAAGTACTAGGGAAAGTAAGTAGTAGGGGAGAGTGGGTAGACATTGGACAATTTTTAGATTTTTTTGCCTGGGTCTCTTAAAAATGTAATTATTTCTAATTTCAAAGTTTCAGGTAATAGTGTTGACTTCTGAAAACGCAAAGAGATAAATATGTGCACTTTAAACCGTAAGATGGGTTTGCTACGAATTTTTGAAAATTCTGTCCAAAGTCACCCCACATACGGGGAGATTCTGGACACTATAAAAATATTATAAATTTAGGAATTTTATTTAAAAAATCAGAGCAAAACTTATTTAATATGTACTAAATTGTGACAAATTAAAATTAAAGTAAATCATTTTATGGAATCGAACTCCGTCAGTGGGGGGGGATAGAACCAATACCACGTCCTTAAAATCCACCAAGGCTTCATCTTCATCTGTTTCTTTAAATCTGTATGATGGAAACTGCCTTTTAAGGAATTTGACTGTATATCCTTGGTTTAATTTTTGCAATATTCTGCTAACAAAGTGCCGGGACGATGTTTGGACAATAGAGGAAGACTCTAGACAGTGTGTCCAAACTCTCCCTACATGATGTGAAACAAAAAAAATGTTTATAATTTCAAAATATAGCAACTGAATAAAGTAAGGATATAACAAAAGTTCAATGCTTTATACATGCTTTAATATGTAGTTACTTTAAATTATTTATCTACAACGGTCTGGGCAGAAAAGCTTACAAGGGGAAAGTAAAATATTACATGAAAAAACTCGAAAATAAACTTTTACACTTACCTCTTCTACAGATAAACTCAAACTTATTTCACTACCACTATTTACTGGAACCGCGAAATTTGTCCATTGTCCATTGTCTCCCAGTGTCCAGACCCTCCCCATTCTCCCCTACTGAGTTAGTACTAGTACTACCAGAAATAATGTAAGATAGTAGGTACTTAAGTACATAGATCATGGTCTTTTTGGAAGTTTGTGCAATAAATCAATGGGGAAAAGATCTATGATATATTTGCCCGCCGCGGCGATTTTTTAATTTAATTATTAAAATTAACTTATTACTGTTATTAAACAACATTTTATGAAAGGGTCCAATCGACCTCCGCAACGGTGCTTTTTTAAAATATTATTTAATTGCTGCTTAGAAGCAGTAGACACATCTTAAAATGTATAATGGGTTGCATACAATACTCGTATTAAATCGGCAGTAAAGTTCTACTTTACTGCCGATTTCGGATAAACGTTCGAATGTTTTAAAAAATACGACTTTAATGCCTTGATACATAAATAACTATTTTCTAATCATTTTTTGTTTTTCATAAACTTATTATGTATTATAATAATTATTGAATAATTTAGATTATTATTTCAGATTGATTCTCTAGATTTTCTAAAGATTTTCTATAGAATAGGAAAATAGGTATACGCTATACAGTGCTTGCAAATCCAAGTCCGACCGCCTTGGGAAGGACGGTTGTTCAATACCCGCGTGAAAAGAATAAGGATAGAATGCCAAACAGAATTTGATTGGTCAGAGCGTCAGGCGTGCGTATTGTAAGCGCCTTCTGTTTGGCGTTCTATCCTTGTTATTTTCACGCGTCCTTCCCAAACCGGTCGGACTTGTGTTTGCAAGCACTGTATAACTGTTTCTACAATTTTAACTGTATACAGGGTGGCTCATTGAAAACAGTCCAGCAATGTTTATGGCTTTGTATGTAAAATTAAAAAAAAATTCTTCGGACCTGTATACTTTTGTTTTCAGGGGGACATATTTACACATTAATTTTATCACTGTGGGGGCGGTATTCACCCTTATTTTTTCAAATGGGAAGGGATATGTTGTGATAAATCTTTTAAAAGGACAAATTGTTACAGTTACGCATTCTTTTTGTTATTAAAATATATCATGAAATAAATTTTATATTTTATTATCTCCAATGAGCTAATGCTTTATTTAGTTGACATCCTTCTGCTTTGTTGATTTTTTTCATCTTTTAAATTTTTAAAAAAATTTGGCTTGTCTAGTGACAGTCACTGAGTGCTATTTTTTATTAGTAATATTGTTTACAAAAACAACAACAAATTGTTTATAACATACTGAAAAATTGACGCCATTAAATTTTGAACAATGACAGATTACGTGGTAACCGTTGAGTGAAGAAGTACCTTAATCAATGAAGAAGAAGCACCTTA